TTTGCCATAGACTCGCCCAGATCTTTGGGAAGAAAGGCTAGAATCTGAAGAAATAATCCCCAAAACAAAGTTGCGGAGATCAAAACAAAACAAAAGCTGTTGCTGTAGCAGCACAAACTGGGAAGGCAGAGGCAGGTAGATATACACATACTTGAGTTCGAGGCCAGCCTGGTCTACAGAGCGAGTTCCAGGACAGCCTCCAAAGCAATACAGAGAAACCTTGTCTCAAAAAACCAGAGAGAGAGAGAGAGAGAGAGAGAGAGAGAGAGAGACAGAGACAGAGACAGAGACAGAGACAGAGAGACTGAAACATGGCACCGCCTAGGTCAGTCCTTGTTTGGGCTCCCATTGTTCCCAGCTCTCCACATTATTAAACTCATATCTGGCTCCTGTCTACATCTGTGAGAAAGTGTAGGAATGAGGACAACTCCTCCAATTAAAAACCTAGCCGTGTTTTTAGGAGCCCGGGCATCAAAAGAGAAAGGAAGGAAGGACAAGGACACTGGACAGGGTTCAGAGTCCAGAAAGTATCAAGTATAGCCTCACAAAACCCATGTAATCGGCACAGACAGTTTCTGACACTAAACTGATATAGGACAGTTTGTCCCAGGGGAAAACTTGCAGGGCTAGTTTCTGGAAGTTGGGCAGTTTGTTTCCTCGGGGGAGATAACTGTGGGATACAAAACCAGCCTCTCAGATGCAGGGATCACCCCAGAATCATGTCCAGTGACCTCTTTCACCAGTGCGTGAGTCACACAGCAAGCAAGGTGGGAGCTGCTGGGCTTGACACAGCCAACTCTTGCATTCCAGTGTCAGCTGAGTTTCCACTGCTCCAGCTACCTGCCTAAGAGCAACTTCCAGGGAGCAGGCAAACACACACAGGTATGAAAATGTAAACATTTGTCCCACATGACTGTGGCCCTGAGGAATTATTGCTCTATTTTAAAATACTTGATAATCTCATGAAACTGGAAAGCTTCTGTAAGGCAAAGAACACTGCCAATAGGACAAAACAGAATAGGGAAAGATTTTCACCAACATCAGACAGAGGACTAATATCCAAAATATATAAAGAACTCAAGATACCAAATAATCCAATTAGAAAATGGGGTACAGTTCTAAACAGAGAATTATCAGCACAGGAATCTCAAATGGCTGAGAAACAAAGAAATGTTCAACATCCTCAGTCATCAGGGAAATGACAATCAAAACTATTTTGAGATTCCATCTTACACCTATCAGAATGGCTAAGATCAAAAACACAGTGACAGCTCATGCTGTCGAGGATACTGAGCAAAGGAACACTCCTCCATTGGTGGTAGGAGTGAAAACGTGTACAACCACTATGAAAACTCTTCAGAAAACTGGGAATGGATCTACCTCAAGACCTAGCTATTCCACTCTTGGGTATATACTCAAAGGATGTTCATCCTACCACAAGGACACATGCTCAACTATACTCATAGCACCTTTAGTCATAATAGCCAGAAACTGGAACTCTAGATGTCCCTCAACCAAAAAAATGGATAAAGAAAATGTGGTACACAATTTACTCAGCTGTTAAAAACAATGACATCATGAATTTGTAGCTAGATGGATGGAACTAGAAAAAAATCATCCTGAGTGAGACCTAGAAAAACAAATGTGGTATGTACACATCAGTAGATATTAGCTGTTAAGTAAAGAATAATCATGCTACAATCCACAGACCCAGAAAGGCTAAAAGACAAGGAGGTCCCAGAGGGATGCATGGATTTCCCTGAGAAGAAGACAAGAATAGATTTTGTGGGTGAACTGCGGGCAGGGGGTATGGGAACAGGAGGGATGAGGGATGGAGGGAGAGAGTACTGGGAGAAACTGGAACTGGGGGCATTTCGGGGATAATGTGCAAACCTAGTGCAGTGAAAACTCCCTGGAATCTATGAGTGACCCTAGCAAAGATTCCTGGTAAAGGGGGAACCAGCTATCTTGCCTTGCCAGGCAAGGCTCCAATTAGTGGGATTGGGACATCAACCCAGCCACAAAATCTCCGACCTAAAATCTGTTCTGCCTGCAAGATATGCCGGAGTAATGGTGGCACAGAACTTGTAGGAGTGTCCAACCAATGACTGGTCCAACCTGAGGTCCATGCCTGTCACTGGCTGGATGGCCAAGGACCAGAACCTGGACAGCCCAGAGACCCAGGATAGAACCAGACACAACTAGCAAAACAAAAACAGAAACAAAAAGTCAATGGAATGATTCCTAATGATATTCTGCTATACTCATAGATCAGTGCCTAGCCCAACTGTCATCAGAGAGGTATCATCCAACAACTGATGGCAGCAGACGCAGAGACCCACATCAAACACTAGATGGAGTCAGGGGAACCTCCACAGAAGAGGGGAGGAAGGATTGTAGGAGCCAAAGGAGTCCAGAACACCATGAGAACACAGCCCACAGAACCAACTAAGCAGGGTTCATAGGGACTCACAAAGATAGAAGGGACAATCATGGAGCCTGAGCCGGGCGTTGGTGGCGCACGCCTTTAATCCCAGCACTCGGGAGGCAGAGGCAGGCGGATCTCTGTGAGTTCGAGGCCAGCCTGGTCTACAGAGTGAGTTCCAGGACAGCCTCCAAAGCTACAGAGAAACCCTGTCTCGAAAAACCAAAAAAAAAAAAAAAAAAAATCATGGAGCCTGAACAGGTCTGATCCAGGTCCTCTGCATACATGTTATGGTTGTGTAGGTTGGTGTTCTTGTGGGACTTCTAACAGTGTGAGCGCACAGACATACATGAAGGCACAAATACACACACACTCTTACACATAAAATAAAATATTCTAAAAGTAAATTTTTAAAAAATTTGAACGGATCAAAATGGATTGAAGAGATTTTCAAAACTTGATAATAAAGTATATAATTCTACAAAATATTTGTTTGCCAACATTGTTCTTAAACTTCCACTAAATGGTACAGGAACATGTTGTTAGCCTTGAGTAAACATAAAACTTTCTATAAATGTATTAAAATTGAATCTCTAAAGAAAATGTTCAGCTATCTGAACCGTGGTACACACACATTCATAGTATATATGCACATGTTTTCCCTGAAGACTTCCTTATAAAGTAGTCAAAGTATACAACTCAAAATCTAAGCACATTATTCTTCACAAAACAAAATAAACAACAACAAAAACACACCAAAAGCCGGGCGTTGGTGGCGCACGCTTTTAATCCCAGCACTCGGGAGGCAGAGGCGGGTGGATCTCTGTGAGTTCGAGGCCAGCCTGGTCTACAGAGCGAATTCCAGGACAGCTTCCAAGATAATACAGAGAAACCCTGTCTCGAAAAACCAAAAAAAACAAAAAACAAAAAAACAACAACAAAACACACACACACACACACACACACACACACACACACCAAAATTTGCATACCAAGGTTTTACTTTTGCCATTTCCCACCACCCAGCTATATTGCAGGTTTTGTTTCCTTTATTTTGTTTGGTATTTTAAGATAGGATCTCCCTAGATAGACTAGACTGTTCCCAAACTCAGAGTGATTCTCCTGCCTCAGCTTCCTAAAGTCTGAGGGGATTACAGACATGGACCACTATGCCTATACATGTCTCACCGTGTAGCCCTGGCTGACATGAAACTGGCTCTATAGGCCAGGCTGATCTCAAACTCATAGAAATCTCCCTGCCACCTGGCAGTGGTGGCACACACCATTAGTCCCAGCACTCAGGAGGCAGAGGCAGGTAGATCTCTGTGAGTTTGAGGCCAGCCTGATCTATAGAGCAAGTTCCAAGACAGGCTCCAAAGCAATACAGGGAAACCCTGTCTCGAAGGAAAAAGAAAAGAAAAAAAGAAGGAAAGAAATCTACCTGCCTCTGTCTCCTGAGGGCTGGGACTAAAGGTACGCACCACCTATGTTGGCATTTGGTCAATGTTGATCTCAGGAACTATGACTGTTCACCTTTGTCCTGCAGTAACTGTACATAAATCCTCCTCCCTGTGGGCTTAAGCATGGTAAGTACTGAAGTGTTCAAGTTTTTTTTTTAATTCTCACAGGATGAAGAAGAAAGCAAACAAAACACATATTATATCTCACATCTTTTTTTTCCCCCGAGACAACGTTTCTCTGTGGCTTTGGAGGCTGTCCTAGAACTTGCTCTACAGACCAGGTTGGCCTCGAACTCACAGTATGTCTCACATCTTAAACTCAAAGGGATAGTTAGGCAGCAAGGGAGGCCTGGGCCCAACTCTGAACTAAAGCACAGACTGTCAACTAACACAAGCTGAGTGGTTCCCCTCATGGAGGAACATCAGATGCAGAGGTGAGCAGGGACCCCAGGCAAGCTAGGAACACTCTGGTGACAAAGGCACATGGGCCCTGGTAAAGGAATCAGACTGGTGTCTATGTTTGTTGCGTGGGTCTATTGTGGCCAGATAGTCTTGGTTTTTCTTTCTTTTCTTTTCTTTTTTGTTTTTTTGTTTTTGTTTTTGTTTTGTTTTGTTTGGTTTTTACGAGACAGGGTTTCTCTGTATTGTTTTGGAGGCTGTCAGTCCATCCCAGCCTCGAACTCACAGAGATCCGCCTGCCTCTGCCTCCCAAGTGCTGGAATTAAAGGCATGCGCCACCACCACCCGGCTAGTCTTGGTTTTTCAAGAAAATGTGGAGACCTAGGTTTTACTGTGAATCTCAAAAACGAGCCTGTGGCTGGAAATAGTACACAGGGCACTGACTATTTGCTTTTAGGAGCAGTAAGCAGTTCTAAGCCTCAATCTACCAAATTAAGTGTTGCAGCTGCTTTCTTGTCCTTTTCCTCTTTTTTTTTTTTTTGAGACAGGGTTTCTCTGTATTGTTTTGGAGGCTGTCCTGAAACTCGCTCTACTGTAGACCAGGCTGGCCTCGAACTCATAGAGATCCACCTGCCTCCCGAGTGCTAGGATGTTTTGTTTGTTTGTTTGAGACAAGGTTTCATATATTCCCGGATAGACTCAAATTCATTACATACCCAAAGATGACTTTAAACTCCAGATCCATCCTGCCTTCAACTCCTGAGTGCTGGGACAACAGGCATGCTCCACCACGCACAGCTTTTATTAACTGCTTCCCAGGAAGGTGACCTGACATCCAGTTACTTGACAGTGGTAATCCAGTCAGCTGGTGAAACTACCACATAGTGAGTGGAAGGGTTCAAATCCAATTTCCAACACTTACAGTCAGTACAAACTAGCAATGTCACTTGGGTTGAGCACTCTATCTTCAATTTTTATGATCTATAAAACTCATGCAATAAAACGATTCCTGGCTAGTGAGATGGCTCTGTGGATAAAGCACATGCCATGCAAGTCTGACAGCCTGAGTTCAAATCCCAGAACCCACATTAAAAACAACAAAACAAAGCCAGAAACCATGGCATGGCATTTGTAATCCCAGCATGTTGGGCCCCAGCCCCACCAGGTCTCTGTGAATTGCTGGTCAGTCTACAAGTGCAACCTGTTTTCCAGTCCAAGTGCTTCCTGTGTTCAGTCCTGGCTTACTGCCCCAGCCTTGACCCTCTGATCTCAACATTCAGCAGGAGGAAAACACGCTCTCTTCTACCTGGAGTTTTTCCACTGTGCTGTAAGACTGTATATAAAGCTCCTCCCTCCTACAAGGGAGAGACCTCTTAACACTTGCAATGAAGACACACACACACACATTCTCCTAGCAATAAAGGCAACACATGCATTCTCTTAGTACAAACAGCTGGACGTCTGGTCTCTCTTTCTCTAATACCTTGGAGTTTCTTGTGGTGCAGGCGCCGCGCGCCGCACCAGCACTCCTGTAGAGAGTTGAGAAGAGAAAAAAGAATCCTGCTTCAATACGGTGTAAAGCAAGACTCTACGCCCAAGAGCTGCCCTCTGACAGACACACAGACACACACACACACACACCCCGCATCTCACAATACACTGATGAGTAAATTTAAGCATTCACAATCCCACAAATACAAAGAGCACGTGGCAGAGGAAGCCCTGATCTGCACATCACCCAGCAGTGCCTATGAGATGGCCGCCTCCTTTCTCACCGCTTGTTTACAATGAGCGAGCAAGTCTTTATTGAGTAGGATTACTTCTATAAACAGGGTTTCTCTGTGTAGCCCTGGCTGTCCTAGAACTCACTCTGTAGATCAGGCTGGCTACAACTCAGAGATCTGCCTGCCTCTGTTTTGAATATATTTGTTGTTGTTTTGCTTTTTTGAGACAGGGATTCTCTGTGGCTTTGGAAGCTGTCCTGGAACTCGCTCTATAGACAAGGCTGGTCTTGAACTCACAGAGATCACAGAAATCTGCCTGCCTCTGCCTCCCGAGTACTGGGAATAAAGCCACCACTGCCCAGCTGAATATAAGTTCTAAACCTGTCAAAAAACTCTTTTTTTATTTATTCTCACTCTTTGCCTTAGTTCATAGACTTGCCCTCTGCACCCTGAACTACTACAATTATCTGATATTACACCTCCTGCCTGAGGTGCCCCCTTACCCAGGCCTGGGTGATTCCATCTCTTGGCTTATTCAATTACACAAGTGAAATACAGATCTGATGGTGTCACTCTCCCTTTAACCTACAGAACAAAGTCTAAATTCTTTCATCAAAGCTTCCCAAGCTCATATCTGACCAGCCTAGACTTCCTACTTTATTCAGCTTTACCAGAGCCTATCCTTGCCTTTTCTTGAAAGCCATTCAGTTTCCCATCATAGCCTTCAGTGAGTTTTCCTTTCTGTTTAGAACATTTGTTCTCTTGTTCACTTGTATGGTTCCTGTTCCTTCTTACTCTTTTTTCTTTATTATTATTTTTTAGTCTCACTATATAGTGTCAGACTTAGTGGCTATATAGTGTCAGACTTAGAATGCTCCAAGTAGACCTGGATGACCTTGAACTCACACAGATACACCTGCCTCTGCCTCCTGAGTGCTGGGAATAAAAGTGGGCACCACTGAACCTGGCCCTCTTACCTGTGTAAGTCCAGCCCCAAACGAGCCTTTTCTGATGTCTTACTAACTTGTCTCTGCAGTTGGGCCTACCCAGCCTCTTTAAGCCCATCTCATCACGCCTTGGAATGAACTTATGCTACATCTGTCCCAGTGTAAAAAAAGACACAAAGAATGAGGACATGGTTGTATTTTCCTTATATTTGCAGCCAACACATAATAGGCATTGGGTGCTTACTGGATGAATTAAGCCATTAAAACAAGACCCAAAATAATAATGATGATGTTATTACTTTCAAAATCCTTTCATAAGAAAAACAGGGCCGGGCGTTGGTGGCACAGGCCTTTAACAGAGAGAGTTCCAGGACAGCCTCCAAAACAATACAGAGAAACCCTGTCTAGAAAAAGGAAGGAAGGAAGGAAGGAAGAGAAAAGGAACACAGACCACTGGAAATAAATACAAAACAAAAAAAGGTAACAGAAACATATAAAATCACTCAGAAGGTCTTAACTCCCAGAAATGTGTGCATTTTGGTCAACTTTAGCAGAAAAGGTTATTAAACATATAAAACCAAATCAGGGGAGATTTTGTAGGCCTGTAAAAACTTGTCTCAACAAATAAATGAGCAAATACACCTTCCAGTTATTTGGATAGGTGGACACATCTGCACTTACCAGGCAGTTGGCATTTGTCATAATAACTTGATCTTCACTGGTGCCTGTGGTCTTGGTGAAATGAATCTGACAGCTCAGGCAAAGAACTCATCCAGCCAAAGACAGAATCTCTAAATCCTGATGTAGGTCATTTCCCATGCAGGGCAAATGCTGTCTTGATCTCATGCCCAAGAAGGTGTCTCTTAAAGAGATGACAATATAGAATCACCAGAGGAATCTTCAAATGATGCTATCAGGTAGACATAGGTCTAGGGAAGAAAATAACAATTACCTTTTGCATTTATTTTCTTTTTTAAAAAGATTTTTTATGTATAAGAATGTTTTATCTGTATGTGTACTATGCATTAGTGCAGTGTCCGAGGGTGTCAGAAGAGGGCATCAGAGGGGCCGGGCAGTGGTGGTGCATACACCTTTAATCCCAGCACTCGGGAGGCAGAGGCAAGCAGATCTCTGTGAGTTCGAGACCAGCTTGGTCTACAAGACCTGGTTAGTTCCAGGACAGCCTCCAAAGTTACAGAGAAACCCTGTCTCGGAAAAAAAAAAGCAAGAAAGAGGGCATTAAAATTGGAATTTCAGATGGTTGTGAGCCACCCTGTGGTGCTGAACTTGAACCCCAGTCCCCTGGAAGAGCAGTCAGTGCTCTTAACAGTTGAGCCAGACCTCCAGACCCTGAATTTATGTTGTTACAGACTTGCCACTGAAGTAGTTTTTTCTGCAAGCTCACTGAATGAATGGAAGGGCTGTTTATAACCTCTCCTCTTCCCCCAGGCAGATCTTACTTTGACAAGCTAAGAAAAAAGTCAGCTGGTCCAGAAACAATGGAGACAAATGTACAGCTGAGTAGGATGGCTCTGAGGTCAGGCTGTCTGAGTTACAGCCTGGCTTTGGCAGTTCTGAGTTGGTAGACTTGATAGAGGAATAGTTCCCATTGTAAACCGCTGAGCAAAGGGTTAAATGATAGAGAACAGGCATAGTGTTTGACCTGTACCGATTCATCTTAACTGCTCATAACAAGAAGCCAGAAAATGTTATCAGTATCATTTACCAGAAACAAGATCTTATAACCAAAGAAAGGCAGGCATAACTGTGCACATTTGTAATCCCAGCATTTGGGAGACTGAGACAGGATCAAGAGTCTGACGTCAGTTGGGGCTACATAAAAAGTTCAAGACTAGCCTAGAATATATAGCTAGACCCTGCCTCAAAAAATAGAGACAGAGAGTGCTGGAGCGATGACTCAGTGGTTAAGAGCACTTGCTGATTTTGCTGAGAGCCTGGCTCACGCCAGGTGTTGGTGGCACACGCCTTTAATCCCAGCACTTGGGAGACAGAGGCAGGTGGATCTCTGTGAGTTCGAGGTCTACAAGAGAGCCTGGCTAATAACCATCTGTAACTCTGGTTCCAAAGAATCCAACGCTATCTCTTGGCTTCTTTGGGCACATACTGCTCATGCAAAACACTCATACAAATAAAAATAAATATGTTTAAAAGTTTTTAATGAATACATAAAGAAATCCTGTTAGTAGGCTTGAGTCATCAGAAGTTTATCTTTACAACTCTACCCATTTCCACTATCTTTACTTTATTGTCCAACTACAAGGTCAGAGTTCTCAGGAAATGGAGGAAAGAGTAACCAATTAGCTTCGGACCAAGGGACAGGCAGAAATATCAGGGACAGACAGCAGAACACAAGCCTTAGCCACAGAATGGCTTGCTATGCAACTGACTTCGGCATAAAAATGGATCTGGTGTCCCAGTAGCAACACTGGAGGAAAGCAAAGCATTTCTTTAAGCTGCTGAGTGCACATCCCATGCCCAGACAAATCAGGTTCAAGTATGGGACAGACACCTGCAGGTTCCACAGAGCCCTGGGATAGTCTAAAAGCAAGGAAATTATTGCAGTGATTTATCCCTTGATGTTAAATCGTCCTGAAATGAGTAAAGTCAATGAATGCAATAAACCAATTCTATGAATGCATGCTTAATGTCTACTATGTGATAGGACTAGGGCAGTCCCCACACAGACACACATTTCTGTCCTCCATGCTAGAAGGGACAGACAGATGATTAACAACTACTACAGGCATGGTGTGTGTTGTCATTCTAACACTCAAGAGGCTAAATCGGGAAGATTTGGAGTTTGAGACAGACTGAACAATACAGTAAGGCAAGAGAGGTGCAGGGGAGAGAGGAGAGACTGGGCAATAGCTCACTTTCTATTTTTGGAAGTTGCAACTGACCAAAAAAAGGAGAGGAGGGATGGGGAAATTATCTTAGGGTTAACCTTGTACACAAAAATATAGTAAAGGGCCTAAAAATTTTGTGGAGAAACATACGCAAAAATACTCAGGAAACTTAAGGAAAAAGCATGAGGCACTCAAGTGTGGAGGCTCACATTTGTAATCCCAGCTGAGGCAGTCAGCCTGGACTGCACTGTGAGCTGTAGGCAAACTTGGGCTACAGACTGAGACCTTTTCAAAACATAAATGAAGCCTAGAGATGTATCAGGGTTGGCAGAGTGCTTGCCTAACATGAACAAAGCCCCAGGCTTCATCTTCAGCACCACTCAACCTGAGTGTGGAGGCTCACACGAAACCTGAGTGTGGAGGCTCACACGAAACCTGAGTGTAATGGCTCACACTCAACTTGAGTGTGGGGCTCACACCTGCAATCTCAGCATCTCAGCATTCTGGAGGTAGAGGGAGGAAGACCAGAAGTTCAAGGTCAATGTTGGTCACATATTGAGTTCCAGAATTTGAAGCCAGCCTGGGCTATATAAGACTTTGTCTCAACACACACACACCACTACATCACACATACACTCACACCACCACCACCAACAATAGCGACAAAAGACATGAGGCTATCATATGCTTATAATACATAATATGAAACTTATATTCAGAAATTGTGCTTTTAATTATAACTAGAGGAGAAATAGGGGTGAAAAAAGTTTTTGGAGACAGGCTAGCCTAGTTTTGGCTAGCCTAGAATTCAGAGATCTGACTGCTTCTGCCTCCTGAATTCTGGTGTTAAAGGTGTGCACCACTATGCCAGGCTTGGTGAAATATTCTTTCTATGCTATCCACTCTGCTACCTCTACCATCGGGGCAATAGAACCTATCTCGATAATGGAGTCTTCTATTTTTTTTAATGTGTCTTCGTCTGTGCACCATATGTGTGCTTGCTGCCCAAGGAAGTGGTGAGCCTCCACGTGGGTGCTAGGAATAGAATCAGGTCTTTTGCAAGAACAATAAGTGCCCTTCCCCACGGAGCCAACTCTCCAGCCACATAATGGAGTCTTGACACTGGTTACTTGAGGCCTTTTCTTCTTGGGAAGAGAGTAGATTATGAATAAGATAAAAGGCTTAACTCAGTAAGATTGAGATTTTGATGTCAGCCTGAGCTAAGAAGAAGCCCTGTTTCAAAAAAGAAACAAATATTCTAGTACTTGGGAGGCAAAGACAGTAGATCTTTGTATTTGAGAGGCCAGCCTGGACAGCCTGGTCTGCATATAGTTCCAGGCAACCAGGGATACATATCTAGCTAGACCAACACACACACACACACACACACACACACACACACACACACACACACGATCATGTGATCAGATGAATAATTGAAAGTGAAAGATGGGTCAGGTGGTGATGGCGCACGCCTTCAATCCCAGCACTTGGGAGGCAGAGGCAGGCAGATCTCTGTAAGTTCAAGACCAGCCTAGTCTACAGAGTTGAGTTCCAGGATAGCCAGGGCTACACAGAGAAACCCTGTCTTGAAGAACTGGGGGAAAAAAAGTGAAAGATGGAAACAATTCAGGTACAGATAGAATTAAGTAGGGCAATTCAAACCTGATGTGAGGGTGAAGTGAACCTGTAAAAATAGGATTAGTTACTAGTAAAGATGAGTTTGGTTCAGATACATAGGGCTCTTGTAAGTCAAAACAGATGGCAAAACTGGTTACATGGACTGTATAGAAATATCAACAAACCCAATCACCACGTTAGGATATGCCTTCTTATTTCCTGTACCTTTAATTAAAATCATGATCACTCTTCTTCCCCTTCGCTTCACTCCTGCTGGAGCCCCTCGGGTTTTGGTGTGTGCTTCAGACATACCACCTGTTTGCTGCTTCTCCCACAACCCTCAGCGTCCATTCTTTATCCTGCTATAAGTTGTTCGTTTTGACATTCTTCTACATTTCATACCCCTGACCAGTATGTCTGCCAAAATCCAGCCCACCCTAGACTCATTTCTCAAATAGTTCTTCAAGAATGGAGCAGTCACTTTCCTTCTACTTAGCATTCATTCCCAATATTTTCTCCTTAAAATGTTCCCATTTCCCTCTTTCCCACCCTTCACTTCCGTTGATATTGGCTTAGCCTCCGTCCCCAGTAACTCTGCTCCACTTCCCTGTCCTTTCAGTTCCAGAATCCTCACTCATCTTTACCCTTTTGGGATCAACAAAGTTTTGCTTTGCTCTAGCTTCTCTTTGACTTTCAATACTTCTCCAGTCTCCTTTACCTTCACTTCCTCATCCACCTGATTGCCCAGAGCCTTCTCCAATTGTGTCTTTCTCCCCCATAGGAACAGATTCATCAGCAGTACCTTTCATTTCAGCCAGGACAAAACTGTCGGTTTCCCCCGCGCCCTCTGCTCCCTCTTGCTCATCTTTCCCTTCCACCTTTTCAGAAGGAATTTGTTCCCTACTCATAGTTTCCGTCACACTTTCATCACCAGTAACGTTTGTCACTCTTTCAATATTCTCCTCTGTTGTGCTTCCCGTCTGTGAGTGCTCTCCCAGCTTCATCCCATCGGACTGCACTTCCTCAGTGTCTGACTCCGGTTTATCTCCCGTGGGTCTCAGATTTCTATCACCAGTCCTAGGCTGTTCTTCAGTGGACTGTAATTTCTCTCTACTCAGCTTTTCGTCACTTGACCTCGCCTTCTCTCTGATGGACCCCAGCCTCTCTCCACTGTCGGATGCTTTCTCACTGATGGACCCCAGCCTCTCTCCACTGTCGGATGCTTTCTCTCTGATGGACCCCCGCCTGCCTGACACCTTCTCTCTGATGGACCCCCGCCTGCCTGACACCTTCTCTCTGATGGACCCCCGTCTGTCTGACACCTTCTCTCTGATGGACCCCCGTCTGTCTGACACCTTCTCTCTGATGGACCCCCGTTTCTCTCCACTGTCCGACACCTTCTCTCTGATGGACCCCCGTTTCTCTCCACTGTCCGACACCTTCTCTCTGATGGACCCCCGTCTGTCTGACACCTTCTCTCTGATGGACCCCCGTCTGTCCGACACCTTCTCTCTGATGGACCCCCGTCTGTCCGACACCTTCTCTCTGATGGACCCCTGTTTCTCTCCACTGTCGGACACCTTCTCTCTGATGGACCCCCGTTTCTCTCCACTGTCCGACACCTTCTCTCTGATGGACCCCCGTTTCTCTCCACTGTCCGACACCTTCTCTCTGATGGACCCCCGTTTCTCTCTACTGACCATTTTCTCTACAACAGACCCCCGTTTCTCTCGCCTGCCCACCACCTTCTCTCCCATGGACACCCGTTTCTCTGTCTTGTACATCAAGTTCTCTCCACTCGACTCCAACTCCTCATTCCGCCTCAGTTGATCGCCTCTGGACTTCAAGTCCCCTCCAGTGGTCCTCAACTTGTCTTTAGACGTCAGTCTTTCTTCAGGCTCCGCTATCATCGCTGCACTATTAGACACGGATCTAGCTTTGAGTCTGTCCTCCTGCTGTCTCCGAGTCTCCTCTGGGTTGTCATCCTTCAAACTTGCTGGATCTTGTGATGTCTTCCCTACACTGTTCAGGAGCTTCGTGTTCACCCTCTCCTGAATCAAGCCCGATCTCTCTTGCGAGATCTTCTTCCCCACGACTTCCAGCTTCCAGTTCTCAGATTCCAACTTTGGGTCCCACAGTTTAGACTTTTGCAGGTTTCTGTCCAAGAGTTCCACTCTCTTCCCAATCACGATGAGGCCATTCCAGGGCGTCCACACCTTTTCTTTCTCTGGCACTTGCGCCTTCTTGCAGTACGGCTCTGGTTGCGATCGCCTTTGGACTTGGGCCTTGCACCGGGAGCCCCGGGCCCGGGCCTTACTGCGTCCCCGCGGCCCCCTAAACTGCTTACTCCGTACTTTCGAGCCCGGGTATGAAAACCTGAACGAAACCTCTTTCTCCACAGACATTGCCGTCTGCCCTCGGCCCTAGCCCCCTTAATCCACTCGGATGCCCCATTCCCCTCTACCCAACCCGCCCTCCCACCCTCGCCCCCTCTCCCCCTCTCCGGACTCCCCGCCCCGCCCACCGCCTGGTGGCGCCAAGAAGCTCTAGTGCGCATGTGCAGCTGCGCGTGCCGGTTAGAAGGCGGCAAGCCCGGAACGGCCGCGTTTGTAGAGTCCACCCGCGGGTCCGGCACGTGACCCTAGCGCCCCTCAGGCTCTGGCCTATCCTGGACCGGCTCTCTGGTGCCTCTTACAGGCGAGCACAGGATCGACAGGCCTCACAGTCAATAGCAGCTCGCACGGTAGACCTGGCACCAGTCAGAAGGAGCAGCTGCAGGCTGTAGGAACCACCCAGGGAGGTCAGTGTCAGTGTCAGCTACGGGATCCCTACAGGGTCCCCTCATCAAAGCTCTTGGAACGCACTGTAGGATTCTTGTGTGTCCCGGCTGAGGGGCACCATGGAGGGGCATCATCAGGAGACTGGGAAAGAGTAAGGTAAAGGAAGGAGACGCCTTCCTACTTCACCTCACTCCATCATAACATGCCAAGAAGGGAGAGAGACCAGCGCTTCTATGGCCCTGCACAGGGGCAGGTTGAGGATACCTCAGCCTGCATAGATGGAATCGGGCCTGTCACTGTTACACCTCCCCTCCCCAGGACCTGTGGTAGGCTGCCTGAGTTTGAAGGTGGGGAAAGTGAGACTTGGGATGGTCAGAGAATCCAAGAAGTTGAGAGCGGGATTCAAGAGGAATTTGGAGGAATAAGAGGAGCTGATCTGGCTTTCTGTTCACATATGTTCATATTCGAAAATATGTACAAATAGCCAGGCGTGATGGTGATGAACACCTTTAATCCTGAACTCCAGAGGCAAAGGCAGGAAGATCTCTGTGAGTTCAACACCACCCTGGTCTACATGGAGAGTTCTAGGCCAGCCAGGGCTAGATCTTATCTCAAAGGCAGAAGAAACAACAACAAAAACAAAAACAAAAAACCAAGACAGGCAGTGGTGGTGCATGCCTTTAGTCCCAGCACTTGGGAGGCAGGTGGATATCTGTGAGTTCAAGGCTAGCCTGGTCTACATAGCAAGTTCCAGGACAGGCTCCAAAGCTACAGAGAAACTCTGTCTGAAAAAAAAAGCAGAATATATGTTATTTGTATACTTATATGTACTTAGAATATGTTTATAAAGTGATTAGAAGCCAGGTGTAATCCCAGCCCTGAAGATGAGGCAGGAGGATTACCATCAATTTGAGGCCTGCCAAAGCTATAGCATGAGACTCTGCCATACATGCATAAATTTATTTCTTTATTAGGACAATGCCTAACATACTATAAGGCCAAATATAAGTGTTACTGATTGGTATTGTGGTTGCTATTGTTTTTATCAAATGGGTTACTATATGTTCTGAGAGTGTGTGAGTGTACTCCAGATTTGTTGGGGCCATACTTTCTGAAAAATCCTTTTTAATATTCATCCCCTAGATTAAATACTACCTTCACAAAGTGCATCCTTTAGGGCTAGAGAGATGGCTCAGAGGTTAAGAGCACTAGGTGCTCTTTCAGAGGTCCTGAGTTCAATTCCCAACAACCACATGGTGACTCACAACCATCTATAATGAAGTCTGGTGCCCTCTTCTGGCATGCAGGTATATATGCAGGCAGAACACTGTGTATGTAATAAAAATTAAAAAATTAAAAACAAAACAAAATAACCCAAAGTGCATCTTTCAAATGTAGAGGCAAACTAGAGAGATGGCCCAGTGGTTAAGAGTTCTTGCAGTAGCCGGGCATTGGTGGCGCACGCCTTTAATTGGGAGGCAGAAGCAGGCAGATCTATGTGAGTTCGAGACCAGCCTGGTCTACAAAAGCTAGTTCCAGGACAACCCAGTCTCAAGAAACCCAGTCTCGATAAAAAAAAAAAAAAAAAAAAAAAAGAGTTCTTGCAGCTCTTGCAAAGGACCTGAGTTTGGTTCTCAACACCCACATCAGGAGGCTCCAAACAACTACAGAGGCTCTGATGCCCTCTTCTGGTCTCCCTGGGTACTTGTGCTAAGTGTGCATACTCATGCCCACACACACATACACATAAATTTTAAATTAAATGTAGAGACATTAAAAAGAACACTAAAAGACTTGGAAAGTGTGACTTAGTGGTATAATGTTTGCCTAGCAAGGTCCCCAGTTTGAGCTTTAGCAATTCAAAAATAACCAATAATGATGATGATGATGATAATACAAGCAAAAATATATAGGGGAGAAAATGTAGTAACATAAAATATTTGATTATTCTTATTAAAGACAAGAAAAAATAATAAAAAGGTGAGACACAGCGGCACAAAAAAAAAGAGGTTTGTCTGAGGATAGACATGCTGTTACTTGATCTAGTCATAGACAGTTTATGTACATATTCAAATGTCACACGGGACTTAGGAGTAGTTGTACAAACCTATAATACTATCACTTAGGAGTTGGAGCCAGGAGATTCAAGAGTTCAAGGTCATCCTCAACTACATAGTGAGGTAGAAACCAGCCTGAGTCACATAAGGAGACCCTGTCTCAAAAGTAAAGAGCCAAATAAAACAACAAAGACCATTTTTTAAAAAAGAGTCTAAAGGTTTTCAGCACATAGAAATGACAAATCTTTTCAAAGATGTAAATTCACTGGGCAGTAATGGTGTATGCCTTTAATCCCAGGACAAGGACAACTGAGGCAAGTGAATGTCTGAGTTTGAGACCAACCTGGTCTACAGAAGTAGTTCCAGGACAGCTAAGGCTACACAAAGAAACTCTGTCAAAAAAAAAAAAAAGAAAGAAAGAAACTCTGTCTCAGAAAAAAAAGGAGGAGAAATGCTACTTACCCAGATTTGATCATTTCACATTATACACATATAGCAAATTATTATCACTGTAACCAAAATACGTAAAAATGTGCCAATGGAAAGAAACTAGGAAAGGTATTTCTGGCCAGTGAGATGGCTCCGTGGGTAAAGGCCCATGTCACCAAGCCTGACAACCAGAGTTGGATCCCAAGATCCACCTGATTGAAAGAGACACTCCTACAAATTGTCCTCTGACCGCCACATGCATGACATGACACACATACATACAATAATAGATAAATCAGATACAATAAAAAGATTTTTTCCTGAATGCCTCTAGGGATTTAGCTATGGACATATCTACACTTAGAGATAACTTTGGAGAGGTTTTATTTTATTTTATTTGTTTTTTTGAGACAGGGTTTCTCTGTGTAACAACCTTAACTGTTCTGTAGACTGTGCTGGCCTACAAAATGCTGGGATTTCATGCTTCTATATCATGTGCAATGAGTCTCACGTCTCCTCCTTTTTAATTTTTTATAAAGATTTATTTTTTTTATTTATGTGATGTGTGCTAAAAGTGCCCGTGGAGTCCAGAAGAAGTTCAAGCTGACCTTGTGACCTTGAGCTCACAGAGATCTGCCTGCCTCTTAGTCCCCGGTGCTAGGATAAAAGGCAAGTGTCACCACCTCCTGACTTTAATTTTTAGATTTATGTGTATGGGTATTTTGTCTGCGCGCGCATGTGTGTGTGTGTGTGTGTGTGTGTGTGTGTGTGTGTGTGTGTGTTTATACCATATCTATGTTTTGTTCCCATAGAGGCCAGAAGGCTGTGTCAGATTCCCTGAAACTGGAGTTAGACAGTTGTGAGCTGCCATGTGGGTGCTGTTAATCAAGCTTGGGATCTCGGAAAAGCAGCCAGTGCTCCTAACCACTGAGTCATCTCTCCAGCTCCCGTGTTAGTTTTTATTTTATTATGATTGTTGGGAAAAATTGAAAGCAGGGAATTCCTCCCTGAGCCTGAATTAGGCACCAACCACACCCAAACACTTTTTTTTCCCACAGAGAGATCGGTTATTAAGTGGTGAAGAAAAGTTAAAGTGGCTGCTTTCTGACTCAGGCAGAAAAACAGCAGCAAATGACGTTGCAGGTGTAATTTAAAAAAAGAAAAAAGAAAGAAAGAGGGAGCCAGGCAGTGGTGGCGCACGCCTTTATTCCCAGCACTTGGGAGGCAGAGGCAGGTAGATCTCTGTGAGTTTGAGACCATCCTGGTCTATAAGAGCTTTCCAGGACAGCCTCCAAAACCACAGAGAAACCCTGTCTCAACCCCCACCCCCCAAAAAAAAGAAGAGAAAGAGGGAAGATCTGTGTTAGAATGGACTAGGAGGTGGTGGTATATTTTGACTGGGCATGTTCATTAGGACATCCACAAGGAGGCTTTTGATTGCTGGCCTTCAATACTTTGAAAGCTAGACCTTGGTAGTCAGCCTCAGGAGGAAGTATCCAAATAAAGGACTAGACTTTCGGGGCCAGCTTTAGGCATGTGGTCTAACTGTTTTTAGCTACACAGATGGAATGGGGAGAAAAGCAAGGCCTGCCAGAGCCATGCTCACACTTGAGCTGACCAGAGTCAGAGGACAACTTTGAGGACTCTATTTCTTCTTTTCCCCATGGGTTCCAGTTCTAGAAAGCAAACTCAGGTAACCAAGTTTTATATGAAAAATGCTTTTACCCACTGAGCCATCTTGCTGGCCCACAAATGAGATGTTCTAAAATTACATGTATTTGGCAGAGTTTGGCCAACACTTGCCCGATGGAGGTACAATGAAGAGTTTGAGTCTGTCATCAGCTACATAGGGCATTGTCTCCAAAGAACAAAAACAAAAACTTATCTATAATTTACCACCCTCTTCCAAATTGTAAAGAACATTAAGAAAAAGGGAAGAGAGTCCAGGTGTGAAGGATGGCTCACTCCAGTAAACCCGGCCACTGAAGAGGATCAGACAGGACAGTTTGACTCTTATCGCTAAACCTGATGACTTGAATTCAATCCCCCGATCACGTGGTGGAAGGAGGGAACTGACTCCTTCCAAGTTGTCCTCTGACTGCCACATATTGCCCCCATAAATAATGAATGAATGAATAAATACAATTTTTAAAATAGTTCTTAAACCAACAACAGACAGAAAAACCATGCCTTAATGATAACTGCTTGCTAGTCTGTGCAGAGCCTTGGGTCCATGCTCAGCATTGCAAGAGAAAAGAGAAAGACATACCAGGATGCAAAACATAAAATATAATCAAGTTAGATTCCAATGTGTCAGGATGGTAGTTCTTTAGCAAGGCAATATTCCAGGAATACAAGGTGTTCGACATTTGAAACCAGGCAATGAGATCCAGCATAAATCCAATTAGGAAGCTCGGTGTCTCCTCATCGTCCCCAACGCCTTGGACCCCGCGCCGCTGCCACGCCCCCCCCTCGAGGGCCCCTGGTGCAAAGGAACCCAGTCACCCGGTGCTGCCAGTTAGAAGGGCATCTCTCCGCCGCCTGGTCATATGTTACAAAAACCGAGGTGCAGGAGCCACCCTGGTGCCCAGCCGGACAGTGGCACCTCTGAGGAGGTCCCGAATGGGTCCGGACGTCCCGATGCCAAGCAGGACACCGCTGGCACATTGTCATCGAGCTCCCGCCTGGCCCAGGCCACCCCTGCCTCGGAACTGCGGACCCAGAAGCAGCTGGAACTGAAGGTGGCAGAGCTGGTGCAGTTCTTGCTGATTAAGGACCAGAGAAAGATCCCCATCAAGCGGACTGGTATCCTGAAGCATGTCATCCGTGACTACAAGGACATCTTCCCAGACCTGCTCAAGCTGGCTGCCGAGCGGCTCCACTATGTGTTCGGGTACAAGCTGGTAGAACTAGAACCCAAGAGAAACGCTTACATCCTCATCAACGCCCTGGAGCCAGTGGAAGAGGATGGTGAAATGAGAGGCAACCAGGGAACGCCCACCACTGGCCTCCTGATGATTATTTTAGGGCTCATCTTCATGAATGGCCACAGCATCCCGGAAACCGAAGTCTGGGATTTTCTACGTCGTTTAGGGGTGTATCCCACCAAGAAGCATTCAGTTTTCGGGGATCCGAAGAAACTCATTACAGAAGATTTTGTGAGACAACGTTACCTCGAGTCTCGACGGATACCCCACACAGATCCTGTGGACTGTGAGCTGCAGTGGGGTCCACGAGCAAATCTGGAAACCAGCAAGATGAAAGTTCTCAAATTTGTGGCCAAGGTCCACAATCAAGACCCCAAGGTCTGGCCCACGCGGTACTGCGAAGCTTTGGCAGATGAGCAAAGCAGGGCCGGACCGGAACCAAGTGGTTCAGCCCCGACTTCTTGAAATAAGTGCTTGGGATTTTCAAACACAAGCAGGAAAGATAGGGAACATGGAGATGGAAGGAGCATATTTTCACAACAATTAAAATCATATTTTCACAACAATTAAAATGTATTATCTTTAAGATGTGTTTCAGTTTATTTTTTTTAGAATTGTGATATCCCATGATACTGTGCCAGGTGGTGGTGGCACATGCCCTTAATCCCCGCACTCGGGAGGCAGAGGCAGGTGGAGCTCTGAGTTTCAGGCCAGCCTGGTCTACAAAGCGAGTTCTAAGACAGACAGGGCTACACAGCGAAATTCTCTCTAGGAAGAGAAAAATATGCTATTTTTCATTCACAGATATTACTGTATATCATGTGTGCATGGTATGTGTAAGTGCATATGTGTGCCATTCACGTGTAGAGCTCAGAGGAGAGTTTATGGGAGCTAGTTCTCACCTTCCATGGTGTGTGATGTGGGAATCTGACCAGGCCGCACCCATACCAGTTAAGTCATGCCACCTGCTAATGTTTGGGATTTTGGCCTTGAGACCAGGTTTCCCTGTGTAGCTCTGGCCTTCCTGGAACTCACTCTGTAGACCAGACTGGCCTCGAACTCAGAGAACTGCCTGCCTCTGCCAAAGAAGTGCTGGGATTAAAGGTTGTAGCATGGTGTCTCCACTCAGTCATATCACTTCTTGTCTCCACTTCCCTAGTGCTGGGATTACAGGTGTGTGCCACCACTGCCTGGCCTCTGTGGTTGACTAGTGACTAGCTAGCTTACCCTCTGACCTTCGAGGTAAGCTTTATTTGTTAGAGCACCAACAAAATATCATCACAAAAGGTATGTGTTACCACCACCTAACAGGGTTTTTTGTCTTTAGTTTTTTTTGGGGGGGGTGTTTTGTTTTTTATTTTTGTTTGTTTTGTTTTTACATACTAATCCCAGTTTCCCCTCTCTCCCCTCCTTCCACTCCCCCAAGCCTTACCCTCAACCCACCTTTAGCTCCTCAAGGATAAGGCCTGCCATGAGGAGTCAATGAAGTCTGTCCCTCCCCCCCTGTGTCTAGGCTCAGCAAGGTATCTCTCCATAGGAAATGGGTTCCAAAAAGCCAGCTCATGCACTAGAGATAGATCCTGGTCCCACTGCCAGTGGTGTCAGAAACTTCCCAAGCCACCCACTGTCATCTTTTGATGAAAGTTTCTGTCCTGCCAGGCCCTGCCATCCTTCAACCCCAAATAAGCACACAGAGACATATTAATTATTAAACTGTTGGCTGATGGCTAGGGCTTCTTATTGACTAGTTCTGTCTTAACTATTGACCCATAACTGCTAATCTATGAATGTCTGCGTGGCCTTATCTTACCAGAGAACTCCTGGTGTGTCCTTTCTTCCTGGTCTTTACATGGAGTCTCTACATGGCTTCCCTCTGCCTTCCTCTCCCCAAACCTTCTGTTTCTCCGGTAGCTCTGCCTACACTTCCTGGCTGGCCATTGGCCAATCGGTGTTTTATTCATCAGCCAATAAGACAAACATATACACAGAAGGACACCCTCATCAGTCACCTGCATTCAGGACCTACTTCCATCCTACTCAGGTTCCACAGCTGTCAGTCCAGGGTCTGTGAGCTCCCACTTGCTCAGGTCAGCTGCTTCTGTGGGTTTCCCCATCATGGTCTTGATCACTTTGCTCATATTATCGCTCCTCCCTCTCTTTGACTGGACTCTGGGAGCTTGGCCCCATGGTTAGTTGTGAATCTCTGCACAGTTACTGGATGAAAGTTCTATGATGACAGTTATGGCAGTCCTCAATCTGGTTACAAGGGAAGGCCAGTTCAGGCATGCTCTCCACTATTGCTGAGATTTTTTTCTGGGGTCATCCTTGTGTATTCCTGGGAATTTCCCTAGTGCCAGGTTTCTTGATAATCCCATAATGGCTCCCTCTATCAACATAATTCTTTCCTTGTTCTCCCTCTCTGCCCTTTCCCCAGCTCCCCCATCCCATTCCCTCATGTTCACCTCTCCTTTCTTCCTCCCCTCTCCCCTTCCACCCTGCCCTTAACTATGCTCCCAATATACTCAGATCCTGTCCCTTTCCCCTTCTCAGGTGGGGGTGTCAATGTATGTCTCTCTTAGGGTCCTTCTTATTTCCTAACTTCTCTGGGGACATCCACTTATGAGTGAGTACTTACTTTATTTGTCTTTCTGGGTCTGGGTTACCTCACTGGGATTTTTTTTCTAGTTCCATCCACTTGCCTTCAAATTTCAAAATGTCATTGTTTTTTACAGCTGAGTAATACTCCATTGTGCAAATGCACCACATTTTCCTTATCCATTCTTTAGTTGAGGGGCATCTAGGTTGTTTCCAGGTTCTGGTTATTACAAATAATGCTGCTATTAACATAGATTAGCAAATGTCCTTGTGGTGTTAGTCTACATCTTTTAGGCATATGCCCAAAAGTGGTGTTGCTGGGTCTTTTTTTTTTTTTTTTTTTTTTTTTGGTTTTACGAGACAGGGTTTCTCTGTATTGTTTTGGAGGCTATCAGTCCAGCCCAGCCTCGAACTCACAGAGATCCGCCTGCCTCTGCCTCCCGAGTGCTGGGATTAAAGGCGTGTGTCACCACCGCCCGGCTGTGTTGCTGGGTCTTAAGGTAGATTTTATTCCCAATTTTCTGAGAAATCGCCATACAAGTTTGTAGTCTTGCCAGCAATGGAGGAGTGTTCCCTGTACTCTACATCCTCTCCAGCATAAACTGTCATCAATGTTTTTGGTCTTAGCCATTCTGATCAGTGTAAGATGGCATATCATAGTTGTTTTGATTTGCATTTCCCTGGTGGCTAAGGATGTTGAGCAGTTCCTTAAATGTCTTTCAGCCATTTGAGTTTCTTCTGCTTGTGTGTGTGTGCATGTGAGTGTCATAGCATGTATCTGCTGCTTGTGTGTATGTGTGTGTCATAACATTTATCTGCTGCTTGTGTGTATGTGTCATAGCATGTGTCTGCTGCTTGTGTGTATATATATGTGTCATAGCATGTATCTGCTGCTTGTGTGTATCTGTGTATGTGAGTGTCATAGCATGTGTCTGCTGCTTGTGTGTATGTCGTACCTGTTGTGTAGCCTGCATCCGAGAATGTAGCGAGGTGGTCGGGATAGATGACACAGAGACCGGTCGGTTGCTTTAAGAAAACTTTATGCTTCCCCAGTCAGCTTAGGAGGAGAGCTCTCAAGAAAAAACACTTCCCTCTTTAAAGACTTCTGCCATCCATCTACATACAATTCTCCAACAACTCTCCCAGACTTCTCACCCTCCTGGCTGGTGGTTTAATCTCCGGCCCCAGAATCGGGGAGAAACAGCAGGGGGAACAGGAAGAAGCATCTAGCCGTAGGGGGTGTCAAAGTCATGGTGTTTCAGTGATCGAGCCCTTATCTGAGCCCTATCAAGAGCTTTATAGCACTGAATTGTTTTCAGTAAACATTATCTCACAGCTGCCTGCTCCCAAGCCGAAGGGGAAGTAGGTCTCTGTTCAAGGTCTGGTGTCCCCACATCTGCTGCTTGTGTGTATGTGTGTATGTGAGTGTCATAGCATGTGTCTGCTGCTTGTGTGTATGTGTGTATGTGAGTGTCATAGCATGTGTCTGCTGCTTGTGTGTGAGTGTCATAGCATGTATCTGCTGCTTGTGTGTGTGTATATGTGTCATAGCATGTGTCTGCTGCTTGTGTGTGTATGTATATGTGAGTGTCATAACATGTATCTGCTGCTTGTGTGTATGTGTATATGTGTCATAGCATGTGTCTGCTGCTTGTGTGTATGTGTATGAGTGTCATAGCATGTATCTGCTACTTGTGTGTGTGCATGTGTGTCATAGCATGTATCTGCTGCTTGTGTGTATGTGTATATGTGTCATAGCATGTATCTGCTGTGTGTGTGTGTGTATATGTGTCATAGCATGTGTCTGCTGCTTTGTGTGTGTGTGTGTATATGTGAGTGTCATAGCATGTATCTGATGATCAGAGAACAACTTTGTGGAGTCATTTCTTTTCTTCCCCCTTTGCATGGTTCCATCATGCTTTTAAAACAAGTGCTATAACTGTAGACCCTTCTTGTTGTCCCTAGCACTGAATTTTGAAAGCATTTTTGTTCTTTAAATTTTTTAAAATTATTTTTGGTTTTATTTTAGTCTGTGCATTTGAGTGGTTTGCTTTCATGTATCTGTGTTTACAATGTGCCTGCCTGGTGCCATCAGGTCAGAAAAGGGTGTTGGATCCCTTGGAATTGGAATTACAGATGATTATAAGTATGTCATTGCTAGGAACTGAACTACGTCAATCAATACTCTTGACCATTGAGCCATCTCTCCATCTATAGCCCCCCCCCAGCCTTTATTTTTTAGGGTTTTTTTTTGATACAGAGTTTCTCTGTGTGACAGTACTAGCTGTCCTGGGACTCACTCTGTAGAACAGGCTGACCTTGAACTCACAGAGATCTGCCTATCTCTGCCTCCCAAGTTCTAGATCAAAGATGTGCATCACCACTACAACCCAGCCACGGCAACTCTTATAAAGGAAAACATTTAAGTGGAGTGACTCACAGTTTCAGAAGTTTAGTCCATTATCATCACGGTGGGGCATAGTGCAATGCAAGCACACGTGGTGCTGGAGAAGGAGCTGAGAATGGAGAAGGAGCTACAGCTTGATGTCACAGACAACAGGAAGTGATCTGAGACACTGGGTGTAGGGAACAAAGGAGACCTTAATGCCCACCCCCACAGTAACATACTTCCTCCAACAAGGCCACACCTCCTAATAGCACCACTCCCTTTGGGAGCCATTTTCTTTCAAACTACCACATTCCACTCCCTGATCCCCAAAGGCTTGTAGCCACACCATAATGCAAAAATGCATTCAGAAGCTGGGCATTGGCGGCACACACCTTTAATCCCAGCAGTCAGGAGACAGAGGCAGGCAGATCTCTGTGAGTTCGAGACCAGCCTGGTCTATAGTGCGAGTTGCAGGACAACCTCCAAAGCAATACAGAGAAACCCTGTCTCAAAACAACAACAACAACAAAATGTAATCAGTCCAACTTCAAAAGTCCCCATAGTCTATAAGATCTAAACCTATTTAAAAGTCTGAAATTCAAAGTCTCTTCTGAGATTTATGTACTCTCTTAACTGTAAGCTCCTGTGAAATAAAAATGAAAAAGCAAATCACATACTTCCAACATATAGTGGCACAGGATATATAATATTCTAAAACATGGGGAAAGGAGCATGGTGAGGAAATACTGGATCAAAGCAAGACCAAAAACCAGCTGGGCAAACTCCAAACCCTGCATCTCCACGGCTGATGTCACATGCTCTCCAGATCTCCACTCCTTTCAGCTTTGCTGACTTCAGCACACTTCTTTCTCTTGGGCTGCTTCCATCCTGTTAGCAGCTCTCCTCAGCAGGTATCCCCTGCTCTGGCATCTCCAGCATCTTGGGGTCTCCAAGTCAATCCAGACTTCTCCTTCACAGCTTCATGCAATGTTTCTCTAGGCCTCCATTTAGGGACATTCCTGACACATGCCTGGTCTCAGTGGCTTTCCTTAGTCTCAGAGACAAATTCCATAGTACTTTCTTCTATCCTTAGCTCCAGAATCACATGACCAAAGCTGCCAATTTCTGCTGCCTACTGGGTCTGGAACATGGTCTCCTCATTCAATTACATCTTCACCAACTTTATATTTTTGGGCGTGTCCTTCACTGCCTAAGCGGGGCTGTCTTAAAACTGGATCTGTAGACCACGCTGGCCCCAAACTCAGAGATCCACCAGCCTCTGCCTTCTGAATACTGAGATTAAAGGTTGCACTATCACACCTCTTAGCTTTTCTTTTTTTTTCATTTAATTTTTTAAATTTATTTTTCAGTTTAAATTTAGATTAGAAACAAGGTTGCTTCACAAGTCAGTTCCAGGTCCCTCTCCCTTTCCCTCCCCTCCTCCCGTGCCCTCCCCCCTCTTAGCTTTTCTTTAATTCCTTTTCACAAGTTGGAAATTTAACTGAGTGGGATATTACCCTGAGGTCAACACTGCCTTTATTTCATTTCTCCATCTGTTTATCTCCTTGAACACAGAACTCAGTTCCATCCCACTTCCTGGTGCTCCTTTTCTCCTAAAATTGTACATTTAACCACATGACTAGGCTGTTTTGAGATTCCCTCTGCCAATGGAATTAATCCAAATCTCTTCACTTTAGCCTCAGGCAGACTCTTCTGACAAGGACAAAAAGCAGCCACTTTCTTCTCCAAAATAACACAAGAACAATCTCTAGGCAAAATACTAAAATTCTTCTCCTCTGAAACCTCTTGACCCAACTTTCCACAGTTCAGATCATTCTCAGCATTAATTTCCATGCTCCTACTAATATGACCTTTTAAGCAGTGCTTAAGGCATTCCCCTGCTTTTCTAACCCAAATATCCAAAGTCCAAATTCCTCCAAACAAAAAATGGTCAGGTCTATCACCCCAGTCCCTGGTACCAACTTACTGTGAAGAGACACCATGACCACAGCTACACTTACAAAGGAAAACATTTAATTGGGGTGGCTCGCTTGTAATTTCAGAGGTTTAGTCCATTATCATGATGGGACAAAGCAACATGCAGGCAGAAATGGTGCTGGAGAAGGAACTAAGAATGGAGAAGGAGCTCAGACAACAGGACAACAGGAAGTGGTCTGAGACACTGAGTGTAACAAGCAAAGGAGACCTTAAAGCCCACTCAACACTTCACCAACTAGGCAACAAGGCCACACCTACTCCAACAGGGCCATATGTCCTATAGTGTGTCTTATTAGGGTTACTATTACTTTGACAACACTATGGTAGCTGGGCGTTGGTGGCACATGCCTTTAATCCCAGCACTCGAGAGGCAGAGGCAGGCGGATCTCTGTGAGTTTGAGGCCAGCCTGGTCTACAGAGTGAGGACTAGGACAGCCTCCAAGACAATACAGGGAAACCCTGTCTCGAAAAAAACAAAAAACAAAAAAAAAGAACAACAACAATAAAAAACCCACCATGATCAAAAATCAAGTTGTGGGGGGGCAATGGTTTACTAGGCTTATACTTCAACATTACTACTGTTCATCACTGAAGGAAGTCAGGGCAGGAACTCAAACCCAGCAGGACCCTGGAGGCAGAAGTCGTTGCAAAGGTCATGGAGGGAAGCTTCTTTTTTTTTTTTTCGAGACAGGATTTCTCCGTATTGTTTTGGAGGCTGTGTCCTGGAACTAGCTCTGTAGACCAGGCTGCCCGCCAACTCACAGAGATCTGCCTGCCTCTGCCTCCCAAGTGCTGGGATTAAAGGCGTGCGCCACCAACGCCCAGCTTGAGGGAAGCTTCTTACTGGCTTGTTTTTCCTGACTTACCCAGTCTGCATTCTTATAAAATCCAGAAACAGCAGCCCAGAGATGCTAGCACCCACCACTGACTGGGGCCTCCTCCATTGGTCATTAAATGAGAAAACGCCTTACAGTTGGATCTCAAGACTCCTTCCTCTGATGACTCTGACTATGTCAAGTTGACACACAAAACCAGTCAGTACATAGTGCTACACCCTTTGAGGACTATTTTCTCTCAAATCACCACAAATGTGTGGAGGTCAGAGGAAAATTTGCGGGAGTCAGTCCTTGCCTTCCACGGTATGGTGCCTGGAGATCACACTGGAATCATGCCTGGTAGCAGGTGACATTGACAGAGGATTCATCTCACCAACCTCCAGCTCTCTCTTCTTTTTATGGGCCAGGGTTTCACGTGGGTCAGGCTGGCCTTGAACTTACTACATAGTCAAATCTGGCCTTGAACCCTGTCTACAGTCTCTTGAGGTTATTATGGGCTTGAACTCTTGATCTTCCTGCCTACACCTCCCAAGTGATGGTGTGCTTTGCCACACCCAGCTGGAACGTCATTGTCTATGATAAAAAACAACCAAGGGTTTCCTTTATCACCATACCTATCTCTTACGCATTGTAGTGGAGGACTAAGTAGTAAGTCAGGAACAGGGAACAAAGACTGGAAAGGAAAGAGTAAGACTTGTTTAAGTTATATGATTATATAAGTAGTAAATCCAAAAGAGTCTAAAAACTAATGATAAATTTAGCAAGGTATTGTAATGAGTAATAAAAATAAGCAGAGCTGGGTATAGTAGCACATGCCTTTAATCTGAGCACTGGGGAGGCAGAGGTAGGCAGATCTCTGTGAGCTGGAAACCAACCTGGTCTACATAAAGTTCTGGACAAGCAGTAGGTTACACAGAGAAACCCTGTTTCAAAAATAAATAAGTATATAACCAAAATAAAATAACTAGGGCTGGAGTTTAGATCAGTGGTAGAACAAAAGGCATGAGTGTATGCCCAGCACCACAAGAAATAATAATAGTAGTATTACATTGCCTGTAATCCTAATACTGAGACCAAGACGGAAGGATTGCTAGGAGTTAAAGGCCAGCATGATCTATATATCAAGTTCCAGGCAAGTCAGAGCTACACAGTAAGATGCTATCTTAAAAAAAAAGTCCAAGTCCCTGATAAGAGTATAATATGTTGTTCAATGGGAAACAAAAGTTAAAACCTATGTACTACTGCCATGCATTCCTCCAGTAACTCTACAAACATGACCAGAGTAAAAGCTGTCATATACCTGCTAGCCTTGAATGCTTGCTCCTCTTACCTGTAACTTTCTTCCTGGCTGTTTTGTTTGCTTGGAGCAGGATCTTACTATGTAGCCATGCCTTTCTGAAATTCATTATTATATTTAACCCCAGGCTGGTCTTAAACTTACAGCAATCTTCCTGTCTCAGTTTCCTAAATACTGTGATTATAGGCATGAGACACCAAGACAGGCTTAGCAAGTTTTGGGGGTTTTTTTGTTTTTGTTTTTGTTTTTTTGAGTTTTTTGAGACAGAGGGTTTCTATGTGTAGCCCTGGATGTTCTGGAACTCCCTCTGTAAACCAGAGATCAGCCTGCCTCTGCTTCTCCAGTGCTGGGGTTAAAGGTCTGCACCACCACTGCCCGGCACAAAGGCATTTTGCATTGGGCCCTATAAAGCAGTTTTCCTACTGACAGAAGTGAGGACTGAGGGCTTCAAAAGAGCAATGACAGCATTCTACCCGTCTCTGAAGATGGGAGTTAGGGAAATGTTTGGTTGGTGATGGTCCTGCTATGAGCAGGGTCTCCAGAGAGGGAGGAGGACAAAGCAGCTTCACTTAGCCAGTTTCCCTGTCACCCCACAGCCTTCCTCTATGCTGTTGAATCTGCAGGGAGACGACAGCTCCTTAGAGGTGGAGATTTCTGATGCAGTGAGTGGGACAAGGTGAAGTTCACTGTTCAAACCAAGGTAAAGCGGACTTTTGGCGAGGAGGTGGATTGCCTTTGATTGAGGCTCTGCCTTCCTAAATGAAATCACAGGTTTCAAATGGGGTGCAGGATGGGAATTCCAAAAGTGGGTTTGGTGAGGGCAGGTTTGGGGAGGTGAGCTCTTATGCAGGTCTCTGGGCTTCCAGAGTGGCCGCCCTCCCTCAGTGGTTCGGCAGCACGAAGGAGTCTTATGGCTGCATGACACCTATGTGGAAAATGAGGAGTACGCCAGCTTCATCACGAGGAGGGGCCGGAACGGGCTGTGAGGGGCAGGCAGGGAACATGGGTTAGGATACAAACTGTGATGGCCTCCTTGGCAATCCATCCCCTCTTTGAGCAGATTCCCCCAGCCCTTCCCAGGCCAGACTTTGAGGCTCCACGGGAAAACCGCAGAAGTTGGGTGAGGACGACAGCTCCACCACCCAGGAAGTTTGCCAAGATGAAGCAGGAGCTAGAAGTGTGAGTGTCCAAACCCCACCTCTGCCCTCCCCAGAGCTCCAGGGTTCCTTCCCTGACTATGACAGTGGTTCAGAGAGTTTGAACTCTGGCCCAGTTCTGCTGAGGGAGAGGGGGAACCAGAGCAGTTGTCCGTGCTCCTACAGGGAGTACTTGGCCATCTTTAAGAAGACTGTTGCGGCTGGGTGTTGGTGGCACACACCTTTAATCCCAGCACTCAGGAGGCAGAGGCAGGCACATCTCTGTGAGTTCGAGGCCAGCCTGGCCTACAGAGCAAGTTCCAGGACAGCTTCCAAAACAATAGAGAAACCCTGTCTCGGAAAAAAAAAAAAAAAGGAGAGGAGGAGGAGGAGGAGGAGAAAAGAAGAAGAAGAAGAAGAAGAAGAAGAAGAAGAAGAAGAAGAAGAAGAAGAAGAAGAAGAAGAAGAAGAAGAAGAAGAAGAAGACGACGACGACGACGACGACGACGACGACGAAGACTGTTGTAATGCATGAAGTCTTCTTTCTTGCAGTACCTGGCAGGCCATCCCACCCTGTGTCAGGATCACAACTTCTCTGTCTTAGAATACAGCCAGGATGTGAGCTGTTTGAGAATGCTGGGATCTGAGATCAGGGTGGGGGAATCAGGCCGGAGCATTTCTCCCAGTTTGCTCCCCATGTGGGTGGCATTTGACCAGGGGAGAAGGTACAAATGCCCCACCCTAGCATCACACCCTCTCCCATGTGCTCAGCTGAGTGTTGAGAGAACAGAAAGGTCATCTTGGGAGGTTTCCTGAGAAGCATGGTCAGATCGAAGATGAAGTCTTCATCACTGGCATATCAGGGCTCAAGGTGACCTTCTGCCTAAGGCAGGGAAGCCACTGGTTGGGCCTACCCTGGGCTGCCAGGAAATGGTGACACAATGGATGCTGATGCCACCATGCTCCTGGTGACTGGATAAGAAGTGTTCTTTCTCCATCTCTTAGGAGGTAGTTGACTTCTTTGACCACGAGGGGACCTTCCTAATAGAATACCACACCCGAATTCGAGGCACCTGCCAGAGGGCCAGCCATGTTATGCACTCCCACAAGTGTTAAGAGGGGATGAGGGGCTCACACCGGGGGTGGAGCTTGACATGTAGATGTTGGGGCTCTGATTGGGATTGTTCTCCAGCAGGCATGGCAGACAACTATATACCTCTATCCGCTGCTCTGAGTAGTCTTGGAACCCAGGAAGTCAGTCAGCTGAAGAGGTAAGGACTCATCCCTATCCTCTCCCTGTGCCTGCAATACTGTGTGTGCCCATGCGGGGATGCACTCTATAGAAATCCAGGTTGAGGGAGGAGTTGTGCAGAAGCTTCTAGGGGTTAGGGGAGAAGACTCCAAGGAGGCAAAGAGGCATTGAGCTGCCCCAGATCCCTGCTTTCCACCTCCCAGGAGCTTTCTGAACCCGGCAGAGCTCTTTGAAAGATTGAGGGTAAGTACTGCCTTCTGCACTTCTGTAGAGAGCCTTCTTGATAGTGGCCTTGCTGACTTCCACTGTAGACTACAAAGAAATGGAATGGAGTCAGGGTATGGGCCTTTAATTCCAGCACTTGGGAGGCAGAGGCAGGCAGATCTGTGAGTTACAGGCCAGCCTGGTCTACAGAGCTAACAGTTCTAGAACAGCCAAGGCTACACAGAAAAACCCTCTCTCAAAATAGGAAAAGAGGAATGCAGACATGCAAAAAGCATGCCATTCTAAGTGTGTATGATATGGGGGAGTTGTGGGAGTGGGAGAGCAAGGTGCAGGGGTGTACCACACACCTCTGGGAGACCTGAGCATAACATCCTGTTAAGACACATAATTCACTCTTCCAAAGAAGTCATGGAGTATGCCAATCTCTGAAATGTGTGCTCAAGGGCCTGCAGGGGCCTAGTTCACTTCAGAACCTACTAAGCCCTTAGCTTGCCCTTTGGGTTTTTGTGATCTGGTCCTGGCTACCCTACTCAGTTTTGCTTATGTACCCTATTGAGTATGTGGTTCACGAGGCTTGCACACATTACACACTTTCCTGGCCTACCTTCTGAAACTCAGAACCTCATCTCCAGTAGTTACCAAGCAGTTCTCTCCTGGGTATGTAGTGGAAGGACATTTCTTAAACCCCCTTCCCAGGCTCACCTTCCTGACACGGAAGCTGGAAGGCAGGGTAGCCTCTGATGAGGACCTGAAGCTATCTGACATTCTGAGATACTACATGCAAGACTCATGGGCAGCCAAGGTGAGAGGTGGTTCTAGGCACTTTCAGGGAGGGAGGCCAGCAAAATCCACGCCAGCAGTCTTGTGCTGATGGCTTTAGGACCCGCTGTACTGGTGGCTTCGGGCACTGGCTGAGAATGCTAACAAGGCATTGGACAGAGCTCAGACAAGGAACCAGAAGTCAACCAGAAGACAGCTGTGCTGCCAGCGCTTTGAAAGCCTGACTCTGCCAAGCAGGGTAAGCCCTGAAGCCAGGCATGGTTTCACAGACAGCATCCACCCTGACTGTCCATATTCCTTTTAACCATTCTCCCCTGAGCTCATGGACTTCAAGTCCTGCAGGGTCTCATTGAGTTAGCAGAGCTGGAGCTCAAACATGCCAAACACTGCCCCCTTCTCCATGAGCTCCCAGCTTCTTCCCCATTAAGGGTGATGGTAAGGCAGGCAGGCCTGAGGCTGAGGGGCCAGTATTTTCCTTTTCTTCATTGGGTGGTAGGAAGGGGGTCTGGAGGCTGAACAATGTATATAACAGCACCAGCCCTCAGAGAGCTCTAAGGACTTTTCTTCTGCAACCCAGCACCCTGCTTCTCCATAACACCCAGGGAGGGAGAGCCTTAGTGAAACCAGGTATTACTCATATTCTACGCTCTTCCCAGAGATGCCCCCTTCTCTACCAAAGCGGCCACTAGCCACATCCCCACTTAGGAACTCGTTTTTCCTTGGACAAACCCAGGCCCAAAGGCAGCATGGGGGGCACACTTGGTCAAAGGTAAGCAGTTTCCGGGAATTCTAGCCCTCCCCACAGCAGGCTGAGTCATCTCTACACCACCATCCCCCGCTGCCCCGGTTTTACTGCCAGGGAGGCTGCTTGCCTTTACTACCCCTTTAACAAGACACTGATACACTGATGGAGCTCTATCAAATAGGTTTATGCTTTTGGGGTATACTGTACTTTTGGGGTAGTCTGTACTACTGTTTCTAGCAAGAACACAATTCCCAATCTGTTGGTTGCTATAGCTCAGAGATAGAGTGCTCACCTATTATGTATGAGGCCCTGGGTCCAATGCCTAACACCGCAGAAAAATATAGCTAATATCCAGTATTCTTCCTATAATCTTACACAAAACAATAGAATGGGCCAAACTTAATGGGTCTTTGTGAGAAATCAAAGCAACATGTAGCATAAAGCCTCAAAGGAAAAAAAAAAAGCCTCTTTCTGCAACCTTCCTCTATTTGGGTAAGGCTAAAGAAATAACCTTAATGGGGAAGGAAACCTGGCTGGGGAAGATTTAAACTCTGGATACTAACCCAGTTTACCTGCCCCGGGGGAGCACAGCTCCTATAGTCCTCTGGGCACAGAAATGCTAGCAAAATGTTCAAAGCTTTAAGCTTTCGTCAATAGGTGGGGCTCCACAACTGGGTCTGAAGTCCTGGGCTACACCTGCCTGACCCACCCTGAATGGACTCCAGCCACAAGTACAGGAGGCCAAAGGCTCAACTTAGGGTGAACCAGCACCTCAGGGAGGAAAAGCAGAGAAAATGGGTCACCTATATTTAACCCATGGGTGGAAAGGGGCTCAGTCCACTATGAAGGTCCAGTACCAATGAGTTTCAGGTATGACACTCTAGGCCCAACTTCCTTGACACACCAACCGTGGTACCCCCGCCTCAAAAAGGAGGCTCAGTCACTGGGATCTGGGCTAGGGGTACAGTAGAGGAAAACAACTGATCCTTACCAACCATCCCTCACAGGGTCCCCCAAATCGCAAACCCAAAAGCCACCTTGTTAATTAGCCTTTTTATTGGTTTTGTTTTTTAAATTGAAGGTCCCTTACTGGTCCTGCTTCCATGAGTGGCCGAAAACAAGTGAAAGGGGAGGGCAACCAGCTGGCACAGGGAGGGTCATTTCCACATTTCATTTACACACAGAACTAAACAGACAAGCACAGTCACTATTGTGGTTAGAAGTTGGCAGCATGGGATGGGATGGGGGGGAATATGAGGTGTAGGGATGCCGTTAAAAAAAAAAAAAAAAAAAGCAGGCACCCCCCCAAACTGGGTGCCTGGGAAGGGACTTGGTCCGCTTCAACCCAAGAGGAATCAGAGGATCAGAAGCAGTTTGGGAAGGCCAGAACCGTCAGGGTGGAGGGAAAAGGACGGTCTAGGGGGTGGGGGGGACATTTGGCAACTGGGGTGAAGGGATTACCCTCCCCCTGCTGGGATCCCCCCAGCCCCTCCGGTCTGGCAGGAAAGGGGCAGCCTGCAACACCCATGAGCAGGTCTGGGGCTGCTAGATGCTCCAGGCAGGGGGCTGGAGGCGGCTCACAAAGGCTTGCCCTCCAGAGAGATGACAGCGCTGCCACCTAGTTTTTCTGCCAGGGTGCAGCGGTCCTTGACCTCCTCGTAGCAGTTTGCTTGTAATTCATGCTTGATTCCTAAGAGAAAGAGAAGGAAGCACTGGGATGGGGAGTTTGTGTGTCAGGGAAGCAGCAGAAGGAAGGAGCAAAGGACCACCCAGCAGGCAGGAGAAAGGAGGACCTGTTATGTCATCTACCCCACATGGCAGTCACCAAAAGGGGGTCCTTACCTGTCAGCTTCTTCTTGATGGCATCCTTGGAGCTGGCATAGATCATTTTGCTCTTAAGGGGTGCACTCTCAGGGGCCCTGAGGACAAAGCAAGGAAATTGCAGCAGCTATCCCCAGATAATAGATGTCTCCAGAATAGAAAACTCAACATGGTCTCCCCGCTATGTTCTTCACTAGTTGTTACAACCCTGACCTCCAAACCTCTCCTGAGTAAAGGAAGATGTGGCAGACAGCTTAAATAAGGAGCTCACCAGAAGATGAACACCAGGTCCTCCTTCTTGCTCTCCTTGGTCTCATAGGTTGCGTCATAGAGAGCATAGCGGCAGTCCTTGTCTGGCAGCATCTTGACAAAAGTGGTGTAGGGGTCGTCCACAGTCTGCCCCACATCTCCTACCAGAATCTCCTTGCCCTCCTCCAAGATGATGTTCTTCTTGTCCTCACTCAGGCAGAAGAGCACCGCCTTCTTGCGTTTCTTCACTTCTTCTGGCGTTGAGGACTTGCGCACCTTCATGTCATTGAACACCTTGATGACACCATCAGAGACAGCCACACCAGAGGCCTGAGGGACAAACCAAACAATACACCTTGTAAAGGAAAGAGTTCTGGAGACATTCTCTCCAGTAACAGGAAACCTCAGTCAGGATACCAAAAGGTACAGCTCTGAGCCCCGCAAAAACAGTAGTGCCCGTGCAGACACAAGATGTCCCTTCCCCAGTCCATCATAAGGATTAGGTGGGTCAAACCACCTACAAGGGAGGGAACCAATTATCTAGCTCAACACCCCCATTAAAGGTTAGAAACAGCATTTGTTAAAAAGAAAACACAGCTAGGAGTGGTAGAACAGGACAGTCAGGGTGACACACAGAAAGCCTGTCTCTTAAAAAAGGAAAAAAACAAAAAACCTCTGCTGAGCTGTTAACGCCAAATTCAAAGAAACTAAAAATTATTTATTGTGTTGACACCACTCAGCCGCTAAACTAAAATGCTGACTTTGAAGGAAAACTGAGCACCTGAGCCAGACTCATCTCCGGGAGAGTGGATCAGAACTTCCCCAAGACCCAATAGCTGCTCAACAGTTCATTTAAGTCTGCCAGAGACTTCAACGCTGTCATGGCATAAACGACACTCTTACCTACCGAGATCTCCCAAACAAGAGAATTACAACCCCTAATTAGGGCCCTGCTGGACAACTCCCTAAGAGTGGTGTAGTCCTAAAGATCACTGGCAAATTAATACGTCAAACTGTAGTGCCCTAAATCGTCAAGAACTCTTTACTTTGCATGGCCCTGGGGGCCGACCCAATCAGAAATCTGTAACCAACCCCCCAACCATGGAACTGCAGAGGAAGCTAGCCACGTGATTCACCCGCTTCCGGAGTAGGCGGGGAAAGGAGGTTGGTTAGGTTCAGGGCCTTCCCAAGAGACAATCGTATCCCAGAGGCGGCGGGACTCACGATGTCTGAAAGGTTAAGAATGGCCTTTTGGAATAGCCGTGAACCCCGTCAGCTTTGAGAGGTAGCACAAGCCAGTCACACAAGCATCAGTTTTCCAGGCCCTCAGGCTCAACATAAGAGCTGGGTGGCTTCAGGGCGGTACCCGCCTGGGTCACTTCCCTAAACGCGGCTCCACCCTCGGCCCCATCCGGCAGAGCCAAAGGCCTAGCTCGTTCAGAGCTGCGGCCGGGATGGCAGGGCCCAAGCATGTGCGCAGGCGCTGGTGCACAGCGCCGCTCCAGCCATAACCCGGAGTACAGTGAACAGAAAAGGCAGTGTGCATCGCTCTTTCTAGAATGGGGGCTAAAGCCTGAACAGGACCCACTCCACGACTAGCGGTGAAAGGCCCTAGTCTCCGGAGTCAGTGCCTCCACCAGGTCTCCGATGCGCTAGTATCTTCTCCCCCTCCGCCCTGCTAAGTTGCCCCCGCCCCTCCCTGGTGGCATCCCTGCCACCTGCTGTGGAGACAAACCCATCCGCAGAGGGAGGGTGATGCGAGGAAAGAAACAGCCCTTGGGTGGGGCGCGCGCCGACATCTCGCGCGCGTCTTTGCCTAGCGGCCCCGGGGCAGGGTTTGGATGCCGCGTGCTCTGGTCCAGCGCGCGCCATCGAGAACCGGCGAGCGTTGCCCGAGGCTCCGCACAGTGGACCCCTCCCCCACGGCCAGTGACCGCGCGGGCGCAAAAGCGGAATGGGGGAGGGGAAAGGAGCCAGGGGGCGCGCTAGCGACATCCGAATCGGCCCTTCCCAGCGCCCACGGGCGCGCACGCGCGGCCTGCCCTTCAATGCAAGACCCTTAGTCTCGCTCACGGCGCTGGGGGAGGGGATCCTGAGAACGCTTCTCTGCCGCCCCCACCTCACCCCACCCGGCGCGCAAGCGACTGATCCCGAAACCGCCTCCCTCGGGCATAGTGGCCTAGTACTCACCATGTTTCCGGAAGCGAAAGGGAGACAGAGAGAGCGACAGAAGAACTGAGCCGCCGCAGCTGCTGCCGGGATCCGACTGAACGCGGCCTCTCCCGGCCCCTTCCGTTTAGTAGGAGCCGCACAATGAGGGGCGGGGCGGGCTTCCGGCGCTCGCCGCGCGGGCCGACGGGAAATGAAGTCCAAGGATTTTGCACCGATGTGGAGCTACCAGCTCCTGGGTTCTGCAGGGAGTGAGGCGCGGGGGAGTAGGCGGAGGCAGAGAGGCGGGGCTATCGCACGCAGAGTGAGCCGATCGGTGCAATGGACCAGGAAGAAACGCTCTTACATGAGCAAGAGGCCCATTGCTTGATAAAATGACTTAAAGATAATTCTGTCCTGAGGATCTCTTAATCCCAAAGTGAAGTTGTTTCCCGTTATTTATGGGTCCTGATGATCAAGATTTTAATTCTGAATCACTGGCTTGGAATTCGCTTCCAAAGAAAAGATCGCAATTATAACGGTATCTTCAAACCAGTAGACACGCTTCCGTGAAGTGTCCCTCCATGAGGAAAGTCACTGTTGTCTCCTAGGAGGTCGTATGAAATTTCAACAAAAAAAAAAACCCAGGATTTTAACAGACGGAAATGTTACAATAAAAAGTTTGGGAGCTTCGATTTATTTAAAGACATTTGGCAAGTTATAGGATCAAATATAATTCATGTGGGAAGGGTGGAGAGTTGTGCATTAGAGACATTTATTTCCTTTACCAGACGATAAGAAAAGAAACATTTACTTTAACTTAGCTCTCGAGTTGATAGGTTTATGGTTATTTTAACAACAAAAACAAAAACCTGAGACAATATCTCTGAGTTTAAAATAAACTGGTGGATTCCAAGAACATTTCTTTGACCTCGAACAATACTCATGGCTTCACACTCGGCAGGAAAAGAGGACAAAGTCACAAGCAAGTTACAGACGAACGAAACTGGGGTCCTTGACCCTCCCAAGCCGAATAAAGGGTGTGAACGAGGAACAACCCCGACAATGAGGCAACTCGCAGAGCATGCCGGGGGTTGTAGTCAGAGGTCGCCTGCAGCACTCACGGGTTGAGCTGCTGAGCTCCCAGTGAAGGGGAAGATTGACCCCCCTTTCCCAAGAGCCCCGCCTAAAGAAAAGACTAGCTCCACCTTTTTCGAGCCTCGCAGTTTCCCACAGCAACGGGGGGAGGGGCTACACAGTTACCCTGGAGACGCGCTCCATCCGCCCCCGGCCGCGGGATGCCCTAGATGTCCTTATTAGGGAATGAGACTCCAGGGGGCGTGCCCAGCCCGAGCGCCAGCTTCAGGCTCCTTATAAGGCTGCCTGAGGAAGGAGGCGGGTGCGGAAAGCCAGATTGAAAAGAGGGTCGGCCAGTCAGGTGCCCGCGACTTCCGGCATGACAGCTGGAGATCGTGGGCTGTTCCAATCCCTGAAGAGACCCCTGTGTCCCTCAACCTGAGATATCTGCCCCCCAAACCGGCCACCTTCAACCGCCCTGAGGCTCCTGAACTTTCAGTGGGCCTCAAGAGCGAAGCGTCTACTAACCTCTTCAGGATCCAACCTCGCGTCCACATCCGACCTCCCCACCTGCCAGGATGCACCTCTTGCCACACACACCCTCGCCGTTCACTTAGCCTGAGCCTTCTGTGTACATGACCGACTTTGCACCCCCACATTTCGAGATGTCTGCTACTGGTTTTACCTTTACTCCATCCCTTGCACACCCCTTCATAGACGTCCCTCTCACAAATATTCTTGCACTTGTGTCCGTCCCGCTCCCCTCCCCCCCTTTCTCAAGCCCTCTTTTTCCAGCTTCTACAATAGCCTGAAATAGCCTTGTGAGGCCTGGAAGCAAGCCAACGTCAGGCTCCTAAGCGTCTCCCCAGCCAGCCCTCCCGGCCACAGAGGGCGCTGTCCGGCTTTCTAATTGTCAGCACAAAATGTTCCTGCTCTCGAATTTTGGGGTGAGAGGAAGGGGTGGGTCAAAGCTCCGTAGCCTGGGTGGGGCCTGTCCAAAGGGCAGGTGCTGGCGGGGAGTGGGGGAGGTTCTAAGGGAGAGGTGGTGTAGACCTAACTTTTCCCGGCCCCTCCCGGGAGGGGAGGGCATCCCTTGAGCTAGTCCCCTGCTAGAGTGGAGAGGTCTTACCCTCAATCAGGTGTTCCTTTACCAACTGCTGGACTGACGGGGTCCCAATCTCAGGGTCTGAAGGGGGGCAAAGGAAAAAGTCAGTCTAGACCTTATGGCGGCACCGATCCGCTTGGGCCGGAAGCGCCCGCTGCCGGTTTGCCCCAATCCGCTCTTCGTTCGTTGGCTGACCGAGTGGCGGGACGAGGCAGCCAGCAGAGGGCGCCACACGCGCTTTGTGTTTCAAAAGGTGAGTCCCAGATGAGTCTTCTGGAGCGGATCCAGATGATCCATGTAGCATCGCTTGATGAGTTCCCCCCTTCCCGTGCTCGCCAGGCACTGCGCTCGCTCCGACGGTACCCGCTACCTCTCCGCAGCGGGAAGGAAGCCAAGATCCTTCAGCACTTCGGAGACAGGCTCTGCCGGATGCTGGACGAGCGACTGAGGCAGCACCTAGCATCAGGCGGTGCGCGACCCGGGGAGTTGGTGACCCCCTACATTTCCTGAGTGCAGGCTATGTCTACCTTGGATATGTTGGCTTCAAACTCCTTACTCTCAGTGTAGTTGCTGTTGGACCCAAGGCTAGTGACTGACGCTCTGTAAGCCTCGTAGTTCTCACGTACAAAGCTAGACCACAGAGACTGGGTGGGTGGCGTTGTGAACAAGTCTGTAATCCAGCATTTAGGAGGTGAGGCTAGGAGGATCAGGAGTTTAAGGACTGTCTCAATTACATAGTGAATTCAAGACGGGACTGTCTCAAAAATGACAAGGAGCTGGGCAGGATGATGTGCTTTTAGTCCCAACTCTCAAGAGGAGGCAGACTCAGGAGCATCTTGTTGAGTTTGAGGCCAGCCGGAGCTCACCCAATGAGACCCTGTCTCAAAACCAAAACCCAGTTCCAGGGGTCTAGCCTCTTCTGGCATTATGTGCAAGTGATGCGCAGACATACACACAGGCAAAACCCTCATATACACACAATGAAACAAAAGGTGTATTAAATATGACACCAAAATTCACAGTTAGCAGAAGTATCCAGGCTCTTCCTGGAATCCAAATTGGACACAGGACTGACTTTCTTCTGTCCTTTACAGGTGACCATGCCCCCAACCTATCATCCGGAGAGAGGAATCAAGCCAGTGAGGAACCACCTGCTCAAACCCAGGACTCTTCCACGCTGGTGAGGGTTAGGAAAGTAGAAAGCTAAATGGGAGGCTTGAGAGTTGGACTTCTTGGTTTGAGAGATTTAACAGGCCTGTGTCCAGCTTTTACTGACTTAGACTGGCCTGGGATAGTCTCTCACCCTCTTTAAGAGGTACTATCTTAATTCCTAAGTAGGATTATTGAGACAGGTGTAGATGGAGTTCCAAAGGAGGGTGCTAAGAGATTCAATCCAGAAAGTTGTGGGACTTCTACAGTGTTCTTGTTCTCCAGTAGTAGTAGCAGGAGGCTGGGCCTGGCACATACTCCCAGTCTTTGCCCCTTCTCTGGTCATGTTCCATATTTACAGGGGTTTACAGCATTTCCTTCTCCAGACCCATGTAGCCTGCTGAAACCTAAGCTGACACTGACAGGCATTTGAATTAAGAGCCCTGCTGTCAACCGGGCGTTGGTGGCGCACGCCTTTAATCCCAGCACTCGGGAGGCAGAGGCAGGCGGATCTCTGTGAGTTCGAGGCCAGCCTGGTCTACAGAGCGAGTTCCAGGACAGCCTCCAAAACAATACAGAGAAACCCTGTCTCGAAAAACCAAAACAAACAAACAAACAAAAAAACCCTGCTGTCTCTCTCAGGTTCCCACCCAGCCTCAAGCAGGAAGTGCTGGTGGCTATTGGCCAGCACAGAACTCAGGTGCCCGTGAGGTCCTGCTGCAACTTTACAGGGAGCACCTGGTAAGTGTTGCCAAACATCAGTTACGTGGGGTGAGGCAGACTCACAGAAGTGCCTAGGCAGTGTTCATGGTAGCCACTCCGTATCAGGTTCAGCTCTGGCCCTGAACCGACCCTCATTTCTACATGGTTTCAGAACCCTGATGGCCACAGCTTCCTAACCAAGGAGGAGCTGCTGCAGAAATGTGCCCAGAAGACCCCCAGGGTGAGCACCCAGCTGAGAGTGGGCAGGTAGAGTCCACTGTAGTCTTCCTTCAAGGCAGGCAGCCTTGGTATGAAACCTGATCCAATTATGGCATATGGCTAGGGGCACAGGAAGTTTGGGCTTGGGAGTACTGGGGCCTCTCTGAGGGTCTCCTTTCCTTTTCACAGATAGTTCCTGGAAGTTCGAGACCCTGGCCTGCCCTCCGAGCTCTACTCCAGAGAAACCTAGTCCTCAGAACACATCGGCCATCCAGGTGTGGGCAAGGAGCACAAGGGGCAGGGATGGGCACATGCAGGGTTAGGACATTCTTAGGCTCTATAATGATGCAGCAAGTCTCAGACCTGGTGCTGCCGATGCTGGGGAAGGCCAGCCTTCCCACTGAAAGCCTGAGGGTAGAAGCAGCTGAAGGGAAAGAGGAAAAGTCGGTTATTAGGTACAGAGAGCTGCACAAACATTTGGCATGTCTTAAAATTTGGCTGATTAGAAATGCCAGAATATTCTAGGGAGGAAAGTATGGCGCTGAGTGAAAATAGGGAAAAGGAGCTGTGAGACAGCATTAGGGAGGTCCTGAGGAAGCTGATCTGAGGGACAGGGAGACAGAGGAGGTAAAGCTCATCTAGCTTGGGGCGGCAGAGCTTGCCCTGTGTAAAGAAGGTAAAACTGTATCTTCCACCTCCCAGGTACGCACTAACACCAGAGGGCCTGGAGCTGGCCCAAAAGCTGGCCAAGTCAGAAGGCCTGAGCACGCTGAACATTGGCATTAGGCCAGAGGAGCCCCATGGAGAGAAGTCGGCAGCCCCAGAAGCCACCTTGTCAGAACTGTAAGAAGGGAGAAGTGGGGGCAGCCATGTCTCAGGGACACACAACTGTTGAGCCACAGCTGCCCCTGTGAATTGTGGGGGCCTGCCCTGGCACTGAGGGTTCCGGCCTTATGCACAGCCCCCACTCCTTCACAGTGGCACCAGTGAAGGTGTCATCCAGCAGCCACCACTGGAGCTGAGGCCTGGCGAGTACAGAGTGCTGTTGTGTGTGGACACTGGAGAAACCAGAGGGTGAGCGATTTGGGGGCAGCCTTGAAAATAACTAGAAGAAGCCGGGCGTTGGTGGTGCACGCCTTTAATCCCAGCACTCGGGAGGCAGAGGCAGGTGGATCTCTGTGAGTTCGAGGCCAGCCTGGTCTACAGAGTGAGTTCCAGGACAGTCTCCAAAACAATACAGAGAAACCCTGTCTTGAAAAACCAAAAAAAGAAAAAAAGAAAAAAAAAAAGAAAATAACTAGAAGATGCTGGAGGGCGGTGAGGACTGGCTTACCCTGACCTTGGCCTTCTTTCTTGAACTATTAGGTCGGGACACAGGCCAGAAATGCTCCGAGAGTTACAGCGGCTGCATGTGCCCCACACAGTACGCAAGCTGCATGTTGGGGACTTCGTGTGGGTCGCACAGGAGACCAGGCCCAGAGACCCAGGTAAAGGGTCATGGGCAGGCATAGGAGGCTGGCCTGGGTGGGTCAGGGGAAGACAATAAGACTTTTTTTTTTTTTACTTCTTGACAGCAAGACCCGGGGAGTTAGTCTTGGACCACATTGTGGAACGCAAGCGGCTGGATGACCTGTGCAGCAGCATCATTGATGGCCGCTTTCGAGAGCAGAAGGTGTCACAGCCTGCTCACTCCTTACCCCAGCTAGATAGTGTTACTGGGCGGTCTCGAAACAGCATCTAAGGCCTCCAGCCACAAACACTTTGAGCCCCTCTTAAGCCATGTAGGTACACAAGTTGGAACCCAAGGCTATCTAGGCTGGCCTGAGAGACTTAAAGACCCCTTCAGTACCTAACCCTAGAGACCTCAGATAAACAAGAACCAAACCTCTAGTATTGGAAATGCAGAAGCTGTGCCCAAGGCTCAGCAGTAAGGCTCACCCTAGGGTCACAGAGGCCAGTAACAGGCCAAGGGAACCTTGAAGGATGTGTAATATCCAGAGGTTCAGGGATTTCCTACAGGAATCATAGCAAGAGGCTCTGTAGAGTCTCCTCAAAGACAGGCAAGGCAGGGTCTCCTTGCAGTGTGTGTGTGTGTGTGTGTGTGTCTGTGTGTGTCTGTGTCTGTGTGTGTGTTTTGCCTGCATGTATGTGTGTGTAAGGGTGTCAGATCTTTTTTTTCCCTGAGACAAGGTTTCTCTGTATTGTTTTGGAGCCTGTCCTGGAACTCACTCTGTAAACCAGGCTGGCCTCGAATTCACAGAGATCCACCTGCCTCTCCCTCCTGAGTGCTGGGATTAAAGGTGTTCACTAACGCCTGGCAGGTGTCAGATCTTAAGAGTTACTGACAGTTGTAAGCTGCCATGTGGGTGCTGGGAATTGAACCCAGGTCCTCTAGAAGAGCAGTCAGTGTTCATAACTGCTGAGTCATCTCTCCAACCTCATCTCCTTGCAATTTTAATGTGATATGATGGCTGGCGCAGACATGTAGGCATTTGGGCCCAACCCACCCTTTCTGCCTGCCTTCCCAGTTCCGCCTGAAGCGCTGTGGCCTGGGGCACCGGGTATACTTGGTGGAGGAACATGGGTCGGTCCACAACCTCAGCCTTCCTGAGAGTACATTGCTGCAGGCTGTCACAAACACCCAGGTGAGCTGAGAGGGCAGGGCCAGGCTGGCGGGTTTTGTAGTCCATGGGTTAAGCCAAGAACCACCTCCCTTGGGTCCTCTTTTCCAGGTCATTGATGGTTTCTTTGTGAAGCGTACTATGGATCTTAAAGAGTCAGCTGGCTACCTGGCCCTTTTGACAAAGGGCCTAGAAAGACTATATCAGGTGAGCAGATGCCACCAACCAGCACTGGGCCCTCACCTGGTGTTTGCTGCCCAAGCAAGGAAAGGTGGGTGGGATCCTAGTTTCTCAGGTTTCCCACTGAGACCTGGGAAAGGAATACTAGGGGCTAACCCTTAGAGCCTACCTAGCCTCAGTCCCCTCTTCTATCAGGGGCACACCCTACGCAGCCGCCCATGGGAAACCGCAGGAGATGCTGAATCAGGAGCAAGACCTTCTACAAACCCTCTCTGCTCACTCCTCACCTTCAGTGACTTCAATGCAGAAGCTGTCAAGAACAAGGTACCACCCTGGCCTTGCCTCTGCTTAGGTGGTCTGGTCTCAGATCACCCCTAATATAGGCCTGTCCCAACCCCAGGCCCAGTCTGTACGAGAAGTATTTGCCCGGCAGCTGATGCAAGTGCGTGGACTGAGTGGGGAGAAGGCAGCAGCCCTGGTGGATCGATACAGCACACCTGCCAGGTACATCCCAGAAGCTACTCCGTTCTCTGCCTTTCCTTTGTGGAGTTCAACTTAACCAGTGCTCCTGGAGTGAGAGCATGGCTGTGTGGGAACCTTGGAAGGCTGTCACAGTGTTTCCCAGGAAGGGAGGGCAGGTAGGATGGAGGAGGGCCTCTATCACAGGATCAGGAAATGGACAGTGTCCAGACTCCTCCATTCTAGGCTGAACCCTCCTACCTTAGCTCTCATGATGCTGGCCCAGATAAGCAGCCATTGTATGCCCTCCTTCCCCCAGTCTCCTGGCTGCCTATGATGCCTGTGCCACCCCTAAGGAGCAGGAGATGCTGCTGAGCTCTATCAAGTGTGGGCGTCTACAGAGGTAAGGATAAGACACAACCTGGAGAGGAGACTGGGTGGCCCAAGGCACCAGGCCAACCTTCTGATTGTCTTCTTGCAGAAATCTGGGACCTGCTCTGAGCAGGACCCTGTACCAACTCTATTGCAGCCACAGTCCTCTGACCTGACCTATACCTGGAGACACACCCAAGCACCCATCTTCACCTCTGCCAAGGCTAGCCAGCCTTTTAACTGGGATCCTTTGGGCTATAATAAAATTGAAATGTTTGTGGTCTCATGAGTTAAGGAAGCAATGCCAAGGTCCTTATGAAATATGCAGGTACTGGGAGACAACACCTTGTGAGCCAGTGGTTTTGTTTTGTAGTATTGGCAGTGAAACCCACAGCCTCATGCATGCTAGGCAATTCCTCTTCCACACAGCAATGATTTGCAGTCTTGGACAGTGTCCTCCACTCCCATTCCTTCCTAAATCCCAGCTTGGCCTAGACCATGCTGTGTCACCCAGGCAGGCCTGGAATTCCCAATCTTCCTAGGCCCACCTTCCAAGTTCTGGAATTAAAGGTGTGGACCACTGTACCTGGCCCATATGGTTCTTTTTAAGGCACGCTCCTGGCTAAACATGATTGTCCAGCTATAATAAACACTTAACTTGGGTTAAGCCAGATCCTATGCAAAGATAGATAAGATTAGATAGATAGATAGATAGATAGATAGATAGATAGATAGATAGATAGATAGATAAAGATAGATAAAGATAGATAATGCTCCTTAGGAGTTGGGCATTCCCTGGTCAGGGAGATGCAGTCAATGAGTTACTGTATCTTTGAGTATAACTAAGTGGCCCTTGATCATGTAAATGTCTTTGACAGAAGGCACCACAACTTGGGAAAGAAAAATGTTCTCATTCCAGTTGCCTAATTTTGGTGATTGGAAAACAGTAGGGTTTGTCCAAATGCATAGTTTGGGGTGGGGCTAGGATGGTAACCCCAGACCTCCTGGCACTGACCTGAACATGGTTTCTGGGGCCTAGCATCAGTCAAGCTCTGAGTTAAGGCCTGAAGTGTACACGCCTTAGGCTGCTCGGGCTGACTCTGAAGGATGACTCTTATCTCTGGAACCTTCTCAGCCCCAATGCAGACAGGACCCTTTGGGTGAAATCTGCCTGCTTCTCTCACAAACCCAGCCCCTTCCCAGGCTGAGGTTACTCACCCACCTCAGCCACTAGGACTCCTTCCTCCCTTTATTGTCCTACACATCATTGTTTCTTTAAGCAGAACAGTCACCCCTCAACCCCAGGCTCCTTAAGCCATGGGAGGGAGAAAGAGGGGACCCCACCCAGCCCTTCCCTGAGGGTCTCCTTCAGAAGGTGTAGGCTCCCACAAAGACGGTGAGTCTCAGTACGGAGCTGGCCCGGTAGCTCATAAGAGAGTTCATGGTGACCATCTCCAGGTCCAGCACATACTCCCGGGGTCCTGTCACTGGCCTGGCAAGGACCAGCATGGCGCTGACATTGTTGATTTGCTGCAGAACATAGAGATTGTGTTAGCCTGTGAGCCAGGACCCTACTCCAGCATCACCCTCCTGCCCTATGGCCATGAGGCTGGGAAACAGTGACCAGGCTGCTGCTCAAGTCTTACCCAGCTCTGACATTTCTCTTCCCCCAGTATCCATGTCCCTGCCCTGCTGCTTCCGGACCCTGTCCACCTTGGTTTTCCCTCCATCATGACCACATGATGACTCAAGTGTTGGAAGTGATCAGTCTTTGGTGACCCAGCTGGCCCACTTCCCCCTTTTCAAAGTATTCAAGTCTCTGTCTGACTCTCTCTCTCGTTGTTCGGGTGCTGGGGAAGAAACCTAGGGCCTGAATAGTAAGCACATGTTCTGCCGTGGAGCTGTGCCACCAGTCCCAAAGCAATTTCGAAAGGAGAAGTTCTGATGCTCGCCACCTCAGTGCTGAAGACAGCATAAGGACCACGACTGAAGGTCCTCACATTGCACCAGTGAAGCTGGAGTCTCTAATCCCAGCCCTGCAGGAGCCACATTTCTTGTTTTATGGATAAGGATGCTAAAACCAGAGATAGGAGAAACCAACACTGGGACTCAAAGCCCACTAACCAACTGCCTGGTTAGAATTGCCTGGGACATGTGTACTAGGAATGTAGAAATCTCTGACTTCAAACGTGAGTCCAGCTTCCTAGGATAGGGCTTTGAGAGAAGAGACAGGGCAGCTCTCACTTAAATGGCATCAGGCATACTATTTTAGACTAGTCAAGTCAATTGGCTGTGAGCCAAGAAGCACCTTACCCTAATGTAGAAGTCCCCCTGTGTGTTTCCAGCACGGATCTGAAAGGCATTGTAGGCGCCAGGGTAGACCGAGGTTGCCTGGATCTGAAACACGTCTGCAGGCACACTTCGCTCTGAGGTGATGCTCATGTAGCGGTGCACGATGGATGAGGGTTGCTCTCGACACAGCGGGTTGGAGACAGGGCAGAGGCAGCGGCTAGAGACCCCAAGACAGGACCCAAATGAGGGCCCATTTCCCATATACCCACCTCCTAAAGAGGAACCCAAGCATATAAGACTATAACTCTCATGAGACATCATGGGTACCCACCAGCCTGATTAAACCAGTTAGCCCCCACAGACCTCTGGGGATTGTAGTTACCAAAGGAAACTGCCATCTGGTCGACTCACTTGTCTGACACCTGGACATAGGGCTCCACACAACGGTTGGTGTCCACACAGCGGTAGCCCCCATGGAAGTTCACACAGGTTTGGGCCTCAGAACACTGGTGTGCACCTGTTTCACACTCGTCAATGTCTGTACCAAGGGAGGTGAGGTTGGACTCTGGGACTGACAGTAAGCTGCCAGACTAAAACCCTGCCCATCCACCAGAAGCATCTGTACCTTGGCAGAGCCTTGTGGCCAGCAGCTGGTAGCCTTGTGGGCAGTGACAGGAGAAGCGGCCTGGCTCATTGACACAGCGATACTGGCAGAGGTAACTGGAGTAGCTGCACTCATCGATATCTGAGGGAGGGTGGGGATGAGGACCCTGGGTCAAACGAAGTCCTCACAACTGAGTCCCATGGACATTTACTGAGAGCCCAGCCCCCCATAGAGCTGGATGTGGGAAGAGAGAGGGGATGAGGTAGACTCAGTAGTGCTCAGAAGGGGGCTGACGTTTCAAAGGAGGTTAGAGGGGCTGGGGTACAACTCAGTGGGAGAGTACTTGCCTAGCATGCTGGAAGCTCTAGGTTCCATCCCAGTACAGAAAGGAAGAGGAAAAAAGAAAAGAAAATAATAGAAGTTTGGCATGTTGCTGTATGTCTATAATACCAGCACTTGGGAGGTAAAGGCAGGAGGATTATACCAAGTTCAAGGCCAGCTTGTCCATCCAGGATTATATAGTTAGTTCGAGGCCAGCCATGGATACATAACAAGACCCTGCCTCAAAAAACAAATGGGGTGTTTGATTACAACACTTGGGAGGTAGAGGCAATCAGATCTATCTGAGGCCAGCCTGGTCTACATAAGAGACTACAGGCCAGCTAGGGCTACAGACCAACATCCTGTCTCAAAACAAGAACAGACCTTCCAGTTTACAGGGGAGCTCTCTTCCCCAGGATATTAAGAATACTTAACGCACCAGCCCAACGTGGTGGCCCGTGCCTTTAATCCCAGCACTAGTCAGCAGATTCTGTAGGCCTGGTCAACATAGAGAGCTTCAGGACAGCCAGGGTTACACAGACTCTGTACCAAAAGGCACCAGGAGGCTGGGCAGTGCTGACACATGCCTTTAGTCCCAGCACTTGGGAGGCAGAGGCAGGTGGATCTTTGTGAGTTTGAGGCCAGCCTGGTCTACAGAGTGAGTTCCAGGACAGCTAGAGCTGTTGTACATAGAAACCCTGTCTTGAAAAACAAACAAACATAAAGGCACCAGGAATCTAGACGCTTGGGCATAAGTCCTGCTAACTAATTTTAGGAAAGGTCCATTTCTATGCCAGTCAAATGAGTGGGTTGGACTGCAGGAGTCCTATGGGCCTAACCTCTGTTTTTTCAAGTCCTGCAATCTCCACTCACGATATCCAGACTTCCGCTGAGTGTGCACCCCACATCAGTGCACTGTCTCCTTGCTTTCATTCCTTTCAGGTAGCTGAACACCACCGATGTGTTTCACAGCATAGCATAAAATAAATGGAGGCATCTGGGTAACATGTTGAGAAGCCTGGGATCAAGCCCTGGCCCCATCTCATCCTCTGTCTGAACTATGAGAAGTCACTTCATCTCTGTAAGTGGAAAGATGGAAGGCACTGTTTTCTCTGGACTTTCTGCTTGCGTTTTACAATTCTGCCAATACACCTGGAGGAATATTAGTGTCCTGTTTGCAAAAATAAATCATCATTGACCAGATTAAATGAGCATGTAAAATTATAAACAAGTGACACTTCCCACTTTTGCTGCCTGAGACTTGAAGCCTATTATCATGGTCCCTCTCCATATTCCAAACAACCTGTTTACAATAGAAATGCCCAGAAAGAAGAGAGACTTGTCCTAGTGCACGATTCTAGTACAAGTCAACTCAACTTCCAAGAAGACTGGCACCCACATCCTTTCCTGCCTCTCCAGCAAGCTTCAGTAGGGCCTACCATAGCATCCCCACCAAGCTGGACATGCTCAGCGACCAGCTCAGGATGAAGACACAGAGGTCTGGAGGTGCAGAGAAGGAAACATGGGAGTCTCAAACAAATGACTATGTGGCTGGAGTTGGTCCAGTATGTTGCAAGTCCTGGGGGGACCAATGCACTATCCAGTAGCACAAGTGGACTCTCACCACTGCAGGAGAAGCCATCCCGGTGTAGTTCATAGCCTTGGTTACAACGACACAAGAAGGTCCCATAGGAGTTGAAGCAGCGTTGCTCACACGGGGCTCCCATGTCACACTCATTCACATCTGAGGGTGCCAGAGAAAACAGGAGTGGTGAAAGCAGAGGCACTGCCCAGAGCCCCACTCTACATGAGCTCAGTGAGGAGATCCTGCCCCCATCCCACACATCTCTACCTAGAACCCCAGAGCTCACCCACACAAGAGCGGTTGTTAGGTCCCAGCTGGAATCCTGGCTCACACTGGCAGCGAAAAGAGCCTGGCAGGTTCACACATCGGTGCTGGCAATATCGGTAGCGACACTCGTCTATGTCTGCCATGGAGGCAGGGGAGGGAAAGCAGGGCACAAGTCAGGTGGGGCCTGAGCAGGCTGAGACAAAGGCCTCGGCATCCATGC